AAATGGGCAAAACCCAAATTTGGTTGGCTCCACATACACTTGGGGATGCAGAACCCCAACCCCCAGCAAAGCCTGTCTCCACCAACAGATCTTTCTGCGAACCTGGGATGGAGTAGGGAATGCCCAGGACTGCTTGTGACTGTGTTCTGCATACTGTCTGCGTTTCTTTTTTCTTTTTCTTTTCTTTTTCAAGATGGGGGTCTTGCTGTGTCTCCCCGGTGGGAATACAATGGCACAATCACAGCTCACTAATGGCTCGCTGCAGCCTCAGCCTCCCAAGCAATCCTCCTGCTTCAGCCTCCTGAGTAGCTGGGGCCACAGGTGTGCACCACCACACCCAGCTAATTTTAAAAACATTTTTGTTGAGATGAGGTCTTGCCATGTTGCTCAGATTGGTCTCAAATTCCTAGGCTCAAGCGATCCTCCTGCCTCTGCCTCCCAAAGTGCTGGGATTACAGGCGTGAGCCACTATGCCTTGCCTTGTCTGCATTTATCTGCCTCTCCTCTGCCCACTTCTCTGACACTCCAGGAGTGAATTCCCAGCCATGGATTCTTCTATCTGATGAGCCTTGAATCACAGCCCAGAGGTCTGTGAGCTATAGTCACTCCACTCACAGGTCTGCCCACACTGTGGTGTTATTAAAATGTTTACATTAGCTGCCAAACTTAAAAATCAAGCGGTATCACATAAAAGTTCCAGATAGACAACTTGTTCTTGAAAATGCAGAAAACGGCACACGTTTCCACCAGCAGTGTTGGCTGGATCTGGGTACACTCTCCTAGCAGGCTCCGTGAGGGTGTAGGCGTTTGAGTTTGCCACTCTGGGTCTAGTCCAATCTGCTTTGTACTCACCTGCCCTCTTATAGCATATCTGAACAATTTCAGCTAGTATCTGCTTAAATGCCTCTGGTCACAGGAGGCTCACTACATTAGCGAGGCAGTCCACCTGAGGTGCGAGGAAGGGGCTTCTATGGAACTGTCTTCCCCCTTTCTGTAAGGAAAAAAAAAAAGACACAGAGGAAAGAAATGGGTGTTGGAGCCAAGCAGCTGTGGATCTGAGTACCTCTCTGGCATTCAACCAGCTGTGTGATCTAAGGCAAATGATGGCCTTTCTGAGCTTTTGTTTCCTTAGGTGTGCCACCCCTGCAGGGCTGTGTGAGGCTTAAACTGGAGCGAGTTTATAAAGCCCCTAGAGCAGGGTCTGACTCAGGGTACATGTTCCCCAAATGGCCTTTCTCATCCTAGGTAACTTCCAGCCATGGCTGCAACACCCCACGGTGACCACGGGAGCTGGCAGCGAAGGAAGAGGGGGCTGGACGATGGTCTGTGCCAGACGGCAGTGGGAAGAGATCAGGCACTTGCTCCCGTGGGCATCCACCCTCTCAGCAGGCTGCAGGTACCTTGCATGCTTCCTGGACTGCTTGGCCCACCAGGTGTGTGAGGGACTTGAGGGTGGCGGAGCAGGCCCCAGGATGCAGCCTATATCCCGGTCCTCCCGTCACAGCCCAAAACTAGTTCTGGGGGATGGAACTGGAGACAGGGAAGATCAGGGGAGGGAAAAGCAGGGAATGATAGTCCGCCTCACTGGAGAACAGCTGTAATGACTGGCCACCTGGCTGTGCGCCCGGCTGTCTGCCAGGAGTTCCACCTGGGTCCCTTCACTTCTTACAACCACCCTAGGATATCGATACTGGTATTCTTGTTTTACAGACATGAAAGTTTAGACTCAGAGAGGTTAAGAAACCTGCCTAAGGTCACACAGCAGGACACTTGTCTTCCTGGTCCCTGAGCCTGCCCTCCTGACCACTGCAGTCTAAGACCTCCCTAAAACCCCATGGTCCCTAAATGCCAAGTCGTTGGAGTGGGGAAAGGGAAAGACTTTTGGTTTTGGTGTTTTTTTGGTTTTTCACCTCAAAGTGCCTCTGAGCCCGTCTCTGAGCCTCTGCCCATGAACTAGTGTGCATCCATCGGAGTGTGTCACCACACGAGGTACTCGGTGTTTGGGGTCATGCGTGCAGGAGCGAGCGTGGGGTGGATGTGCGGCCCGCGCGTGTGTCCACAGAGGGAATCCGTGGGTGGGTCTGGTCCTGGTGTCGCCGGGACGTCCCGATGGTGTCTTCGCGCACTGGGACCCTGAGTCCACGTGCGCAGCGCGGGGCGCGCCCCCGAAGGTGCCCGCAGCCGGGGGAGGGTGGGCGTGAGCACGTGCGGCGGCGGTGGCCGCGGGCCGGGTGGCCGCGGTGCGGGCTCCGTGTCCCCCACCCCCCCGCCTCGGTGCTGATTGGCTCGGCGCCGTGACGGGCCGGCTCCCGCCCGGGGCGGCGGCGGCGGCGGGCGCGGGTGCCCGCGTGTGCGCTGGGAGCCGCGTGTGCGCCGGGGTGTGCGCCCGGCCGGGTGTGCGGAGAGCGAGGGAGCGCGCTCCCTCCCGACGCGCGGGCCGCCGCGGCCGAGCCTGAGGGTGCGCGGCGCCCCCGCCCGCCCGGCCCGGCCATGGCCCCCGCCCGGGGCCGCCTGCCCCCCGCGCTCTGGGTCGTCACGGCCGCGGCGGCGGCGGCCACCTGCGTGTCAGCGGCGCGCGGCGAAGGTGAGCGGCGGCGGCGGTGGGGCGGGGGCGGCCGAGGGGCGCGGGGCGCGGCGCGCGCTGCCTGCGGCTCAACTTCCTTTGCATCGACCCTGAGCTCCAAGGCGGCTGGGATCCCTCGGCCCGGGGGGCAGGGGCGGCACCGCGGAAGAGACCCGGGATTAAGGGACAGAGCGGTGGAGATGGGAACTCACCAGCTTGAGGAAGAGGGACAGGTACCGGGGACTGGGGGACAGTGGGAAAGGACAGGAGACAGGACTGACGGATGTGCAGCTGGGGACAGAAAACTGAGGGCCGGGGACAAGGGGACAGGACTGGACAGAAGACAAGAGAAGAGGTAAGGAGGAACGGGTACAGTGAAATAGGGCAAGGAAGAGGGTTGGGGACAGAGGACGTGGGGGTAGACACTAGGGATGGAGAGACAGGAGAATGGGAGAGGAGGTTCAGAGGTCGGAAGGAAAAGGGGGTGGGGACGGCATTGAGAGACAGGAGCCAGGCGCTGAGAAACGGGACCCCGGAGAGCAGGACGGGCTTTGAGGGGAGGCAGGAAGGAGGGGCGGAGAATGAGTCTGGGAGAGGGGTCAGGACCCGAGGGCCACAGTCTGGCGATGGGCTGGGGAGAAGAAGCGAGGGCAGGGAAGTTCCAACTGGAGGAGAGGCAGCTTCGTGGGCAGCGGGAGCGGCTTGGGGAGGAGAGGGCTGGGGGATGGGGAGGCCACAGAGAGACTGAGGTAGGCAGGCCCCAGAGAGCAAAGTCTTGTCAGAGAAGGTTGGGATGGCAGGGTCACTCTGGGGCCCCGTGTGGGAGGAAGGATTGGGGTGGGAAGGTGCACTGAGTCGTTGGGACCAAAAAGGTCTGGGAAATGATTTCTGGTGGTGGGGGCTGAGAAAAGCTGAGAGGGAGCACCCAAGCCTCCCATCCACACACCCCTTAGCTCCCTGGAGACCCCAGCTCCATCCAGCTCAGGAGGTTTCCCTGGGTCCCACTCCCCGCACCCCAATCCCTGCCCTGGCCCTCCTCTGTTCCCACAGCTCTGCCCCAAGGAAGCCAGAGCATCTCTGGGCAGGCTCCTGGGCTGATGATGTCCAGGGACCAGAGCTGGGTCCTCACCCTGCCAGGATGAACTTCCAGGTGTGAGCGAACTCCAGAGCCAGTGCTGCTCTTCCACGCCCAGACAGACCACAGATCTGCCCTTCACGCACAGCTCTCCGAGGTCCCACCCTACGCACAAGCACACACACAGGCTACTTGGGATTCACACTTGTGACTCAGGCCTGTAGAGACTCACGTGTGTGGTCAGTCTCCCCACCCCACATAACATCCACAGCCACACACACAGAAATGAAGCCAGTACACATGAGCACAAACACACATGTACATGCACGTACAGATGCATGCACATGCAAATATGCAACTCTGTGTCTACATATATACATCACACCACATATGTAAGGAGCCCGTTGCTTGCATTGATGCCCATGGAAATGCATGTGCACCAACAAACACGCACAGACACAGATAAAATCATAGTCTCCCGTGAGCCCAGGACCCAGCATGGAGGAGGGGCATGGCAGGGTGGCGAGAGGTGAGATGCCGGCAGAGCAGGGCCAGGTGGATGTAACAAGAGGCAGGTTCCCAGGCACCGGGAGAGGTCTGGGGTTGGGGGGTGCTGGGGAGTAGGAAAGGGGGCAGGGTTGGAATCTAAGAGGCCTTGGGGCCCTGGGAGCTGCGCCTGAGAAGACGGCTTTCCGAGGGTGGGTGGAGGGAAGTGGGCAGTTTGTTTGCCCAGCAGGCTCTGAGGAGATCTCCATTGAGGCGCTGGGAGCCGGGTGATGCACCCCCAACCTCCTGCTTCAACTCTCTTCTCTGGGGAGGAGCCATCACCCTCTGGAATCACAGGCTGGTAGCCCCAGAGCCCCTCGAAGAGGGGGCTTGGACCAGGCTCCTGTGCCAAGGACAAACCATGGGTCTGGGGAGGGGACCTGTGCAGCGGGTGGGGGCCAGCAGCTGAGGAAGAGGCAGGGTCTAGAGAGAGAGGCAGGTGGGGAAGTCTGTGTCCCGGGTGAAGGGAGGCGTAGCCCAAGGGCGAGAGTCCACGCCCTCTCCGATCAATGCAGCAGGGTACCCACAGCCAGGCACAGGTTACCCACGTGAGTCAGACAGCCATGGGGTGGAGACCTAGGACCTGAGTTCCATGTGGCGCATCTGGGAGTCCTCTCCAGCACTGTCCCTGGGCTGGTCCAGAACAACCAGTGCCAGCCGAGGAGACTGTTGAAACTCGGGAGCGGGGGCTCTGCTCCCAGCTGGGTCTAGCAAAGGTGACAGGACCTTAGCCTGGCCAAATACCCCTATACCAGGCCACTCTCACAGCCTTTGCTGGGGCACCGTGGGCCCAGGAAGGGCCCCACACCTGCAGAGATGGCCCCCGACCCCTGCCAGGCCCAAGGCCGCTTATTGCTCTCTGGTGCGGTTTATCCTCCACTTCGAGGTGATCTCCAAGGCATTCAGAATCCTGGCTGACATCCCCTGGCCACCCCGAATTCTCCAGCCTCACCATCATGCGCTGTGTCCTCAGGGAATGTAAATCAATTTAAGTATTAGTCTCAGCGAAATGGAATGGGGGAAGGCGACGGTGATGGAGAAAAAAAGAAATCGCATAATGCCTTCCACAGTCCAACAGGAGCGGCTTAGGAGTTATCTGTGTTTCCCAGAGCAGGAGAGGGACCGGTTTGATCCCCTGAGAACAGCCCGGGCAGATAGGCCTAGGAGAGATGCCTATGGACATCTTTCAGATAAGGAAACTGAGGCAGAGGGGTTAAGCCCTTCACTTCACTGAAGGGCCCTGGGAGACCATGGAGTCCAATCCCCCTGGTTTGTAAGCGGGGAGATGGGCCCACAGGGGAGAACTGGCTTCACAGTCCGGCAGCGCAAGAGGCAGGAGAGAGGCCCCCTGCGGTGACCAGAGCGTCTGAATTCCCAAGGGGACCCAGACCCAGGCTGGGTGGGCCTAATGCTGGCGTTCTCTCAGCCCTCATCAAACGTCCTGTGGACTTGGGGCTTCCTTCAAGGGACACCCTGCGTTTTCATCCATTCAAGGGGACATGGATGGGGAAGGTGGAGATGGAGACAGAGGAAGAGGAGGGAGGGGAGGGACAGAGAAGGGTCTGGAATGAATTGGAACAAACAGCTCTGGAATCCTATAGCCCTTCCTGAGGCCGATAGAATCGACTTTTGACTTATCTTTGGATTATCTGAGCCCCCTGGCTGGTTGATCAGGAATCAGCTGCAGATAAGGTGGGGCCTCCCCGGGGAGGGCAGGGCCTGGAGAGCGGTGTCTGCAGGCCCTGAAGTCCGCACGCTCCAGGGGGAGAATCCTAAACGGTGGATATCCACTCGGGTGGCTCCAGGGTAGGGGCAAGTCTGGGCTGCATCCAGGCCAGGTCACGGAAGGGGCCCAGTCACCCCGAGACCTGTGTCCGAGATGCGGGATGGGGCAGGGGGGCCCATACGTGTCCTTCCCTCACCGTGTCCCCAAACTCGGCTTTGCTGGTCTGGGGGAAACTGCAGTGCAGCCCCCTCCCCCTCCCACCAGCCAGCAGGAGGAGAGAGCTTGCCTGACCCAGTTTTCTCCACATTGCCTGAGAGGGAGGGAGGGAGGGAGGCGGGAAGTCTTCTCTCTGCCTCTGCCCCTGGTGTGGGGCCGGCTTGCGGAGGGGGACGTCCCTCTGCGGACATTCGCTCTGTCCCCTGATCCCAGGTGGCCCCTGGGGACCCAGAGGGGAATGCAGGGAGAAGCACAGAGAACCCCTCCCTAGTTCTGCCAGCCCCACGCCAGCCGGCCTCCTCCAGGGTCCCTGACGGTGGGGTGGGGAGGGTGAGAGGCAGGAAAAAATCAGCAAATAAGAGCATCTTCACTCCAGCATTTCCTGAGGACACTTGTCCCCGTCTTTGAGGGGCAGGCTTAGAGCTATGCAAATCTCAGGCAGAAAGACACCCAGCCGCCTGCGGGAAAGTTCCAGGAGGGCTCCATCTTTAACCCCCGTCACCTGCCCAAGCCCGCTGACTGGGGTGATTAAAAGCCCATGGCTGTTGGCTGGGAGAGGAGGTTCATGGAAGGCAGAGTGAAAGGGAAAGCTGTGGGACTCTGGAGCCAAGAGCCTCTCATATAGCAATCACCAGCTAACCAAAAGGAAGCAGAGAGGTGAAGGGACTTAACCAAGGACACACAGCAGTTAGAGACGGCTAAAGCCTGAGCCCTGATTTCTAAACAGCATAATGCATCTGTATCACCTTAAATGAGGGAGTGATCACAAGGGACATGGAGAGAGGCGGGGGGCGAGGGACTTAGAGAAGGGAAACTAGTGTTGTTGAGGACCAGCCCTGGCTCCAGGCTTTGCATACTTTCCTGACCTTCATCCCACCCTTAGGTACTATGAACCCATTTTACAGATGCGAAAATTGAGGGTTACCTGCTAATAAGTAGCTGCCTTGAGACATGGGCCCAGGAATGTCTGACCCCCAAGATGGCTCTTTTCCCTCCCGTGTTGAGCTTGCGGGCTCTCCTTTGCAGAGGGCCTGACTTAGAGTGACTTGCCCTTTGGACCAGTGCTCCTTTCCCGCTGTGGAGACTACCCAGAGGTTCTGCTTCTCAGGCCCGAGCATCTAGGGATGGTGATGGCCTGCAGTTGCTAAAGCAAGTGCTCCGAATGCCAGCCCTGCCAGCTGCACCTGTGGAGCTCTTGGCACATTCCTGGACCTCCCTGAGGTTCGGTTCTTTTATCTGTAAAATGGAGATAATAATGGCCGCCTCTCAGGTTGTTGTGCGGGGGCGCAGATGAGGCATCTCAAGCTCCCTTTGCAGATATTGGCACATAGGTGCTCACTAAGAGGCAGCTCTTATCCCCCAAGCCCCTCCATACCGGATGTGCACAGAGGACATGCTGGCTGCCAGGCACCATGCTGGGGGAACAGGGTAATTATTAAGCTGGGGCCAGTCCTCCGATGGGAGGTATGACTTTGCAGCATGGACCTTGAATGCCATCATGGCTCCTATAGGAGACAAGGGTCAGGTCATCATCACAAAAGCCCTGTGGGACTGAAATCGTTATTACCCCATTTTACAGAGGAGGAAGTGGAGGCTCAGGAAGGTGAGGGGACTTGCCCAGGGACACACAGCTCCTAAGTGGCACAGCTGGGATTTTGAGGCCTGCCAGCCTCGAGCCCACCTCTTAACTATCCCACTGTGCCAGCAACCAAGGATGTCTGGCACTTGGAACAGCTTGTGCTCTGGGAGTTCAGAATATTACTTTTTGGCCAAGAGGGTGAGAGGAAGGCTTCAGGGAAGAGAACTTAAACTGGGCCTTCAAGGAGAGGGGAAGAGAGAAAGGGCATTCAGGCAGAGGGACCCGTGTGAGCTGTGTGCTGGGGGCTGAGAATGGACCAGTATAGCTGGGTCAGGCTGCGCTTGAGGAACTGGGGAGAGGTTACAGGGGCCTGATGCCCTCTTGTCTCCTGTTTTACAGTGAATTTGCTGGACACATCGACCATCCACGGGGACTGGGGCTGGCTCACGTATCCGGCTCATGGTGTAAGTGACGGGCAGTGGGGACAATGTCATCCCCCTGTGAGCGGAGAGAGGCTGCCACTCACAGAGTCTGCATGAGATCGATCAAAAGGAAGCAGAGGCCCAGAGAGGTCAAGAGACTTACCCAAGGGCACACAGCAGTTAGTGCTGCTGATCTCTTAACAGTTTAGTGCATACAGACCCTTGAGATTACGGAACCAACCCTGGCAACAGATCCCTGATTCTTCAAGTCTGAGGCCCTAGATCCAGGGATCCCCATGGCTGGATCCTACAGATTCATGAGGTGCCAGGCCAGGACTAAAGAAGGCCAGCCAGGCCTTCCTGCCTTCTGGGTTGCTCCCTCCCTCCCAGCTGCCCTGGCCTCACCAGTCCTCCGACCTCTGGAGTCTCTGCTTGTCTGTCTCCCCAAGTGGCCAGGTTCCCAGGCCTCCATGGTGACTCTGGACTCGGCCTTCAGGTCGCTGTGGGTAATGTGCTCACAGGCCATGCCCCCATCCTCCTGGGGAGGAGCTGCAGTGAGCAGGTTGCACTGCCCTGTCCCTCTGCATCTCTTCTCTGAATCCTGCGGGGGCAGGGCAGTAGAGTAGGAGTGAGCCCATGAGCCTGGTGAGATCCCGGCTCTGCCCTTGACAAGCAGGTGGCCTTGGGTCACCACTTCACCTCTCTGAGTCTCAGTTTCCCCATCTATAGAAAGGGACAAGCCTGTGATGACCTCCTAGGTCTGCGGCAGGGCGAGAGCAGATGACACAGTCTTGGTACTGAGTCTGGCACAGGGTGAGCCCTCAATGAACGTAGGCTTTTATAATGATCTTTAGCATTGTTACTCACGTGTATTATCGCACACAGTTACCGTCACATGAACTTCCTCTCACCAGGGTGCTCAGAAACACACACATGCACACACACGCGTGCGCGTACACACAGATGCACACATCCCTGCCACGGACACGAGCACATGGTGCATACCTGAGTTCTGTCATGTCCACGTTCAGCTTCTATGGCTGTGAGGACAGAGGGATAATAATATTAATAATGATGATGATGATGCCACCAACAGTTACACTTATGAAGGGCCTTTCTTGACTTTGGGTAGAGTTTTCATCTGGGCCTTTTGTGGGGGGCCTGTGGTTGGAAGTCTAGACATGGCCCCACTCCTCTCTCTCTGGGAGTCTGGTCACCAGGCAGCAGTGAGCTGAGCCTGTTATCAACCCTCATGCACCGGGCTCCCGGGAGCTGGGGGCGGGCCACATGGCCCTGGCTCTCCAGGTCCCAGAGCCTGGAGAAAGCCCTCATCACCTGAGCCAGCACCACTGCCCGAGGACGGAGGCCAGGTGCTTGGGGTGTCCCTTTACCTCGCAGCGTGTCAGTCCCCCGCTCTGTAAAATGCTCCTTGGTGTGGCTATCTTCCCCGCGTGAGTGTGGTGTGGAAGGCTTTGGTGCAGTGAGCTGGCCCCCGTGTCAGGGTTCCACCCATGAGGAGATGGATCCTGGTTCCTCCCTCACTGCATGGCCGTTGGCTGAGTTGGCATTCCCCTGAATGTCTTTATCCTGGGGTGTCTTTATCCCGCCCAGAGCATCGGACTTGGTGTTTAGGGTAGCGAGGAATTGTCAGGGTTTTCAGCAGGTGGGGAGCATGGCTGGCCTCGTGTTTTGGATGCTCACACTGGCAGTCTCAGGTGGGTTTTTGTGCAGGGCGCTATAAAGCATAGCTCAGCATTCTGGCATTGCATTCACGAGTTAGAACAAATCAGGCAACTTCACTGAGCTCTGAGCAGGTCACAGGCATGATCTCATCACTCCCCACAACCAATCCTTGAGGTGGGTGCAGCCACCGCACTTCACAGGTGAGGAAGCTAAGGCTCAGCGCAGCGAGGAGTAATTTGCCCATCATCAGGCAGGTTCCAGCTGATGGCAAGCCGGGACTTAAACTTGGGTCTCTCTGAGCCCAGAGCCTGTGGTGAGTCCCTTATGCCACCTTTGAACTGCAGGCAGTAAGGCCTACTCTGTGACCATTTCATGAGATGGGGAGGCAAGCCTGCACTCTCTGCTGAGCCAGGGACCACCTGCCATCACCAGGGGGCCTGGAGACTGGGGCTTCTCGGAGAGGAGGGAAGGCTGGAATGACATGCCTGATTCCCAGACTCTAGACTTTGAACCTGTGCCAGGCTAGCAGGTGAAGCCTGCAGAGTTCCACATCCAGGAGGTCTGTGGAAGGGCCTGGGAATCTTCTGTTTAATAAGCTTTCCAGGGAGCCAGGCATGGTGTCCCACACCTGTAAGTGTAGCATTTTAGGAGGCTTGCTTGCGACCAGGAGTTTGAGACCAGCCTGGGCAACATAGTGAGACGCTTTCTGTACAAAGATATTAAAATTAGCTGGGCGTGGTGGTGTGCGCTTGTGGTCCCAGCTACTCAGGACGCTGAGGTAGGAGGATAGCTTGAGCCTAGGAGGTGGAGGCTCCAGTGAGTCGCTGTACTCCAGCCTGGGTGACAGAGAGAGATCTTGTCTCAAAAAATAAAAATAAAAAATAATCAGCTTTCCAGGTGATTCTCCTGCTCAGCTGGTAGGGGGAACCTCTGGAGATGGTCCTTGAGGTTCTATCCATCCCTCTGACTCTGGAGTCCATTCAGTAGCTTGAGGACAAGGGTCACCCAGGGCAGTCTCCAGCCTCAGAAATGTTACACAATTGTCAGACAGGTGCAGAACCTGAAGGGCCAGGGCGCTGGGTCCTGATGAACGGGGGCTCCACCTCCTGTAGTCAGTGTGATTCAGGCAGATCACTTACTTCGTCTCCACCTCCTCATTTATAACATGGGGACAATCTTAGAACTGCTCCGTGCAGTGCCACCAATGGCATGATACATGAAAAGGCCGTTTTACCAACGAGAAACTGAAAGCTCTCAGAGGCGAAGTAATTCTGCGAAGACGGGGAGGTCTGGCCCAGACCCTCTGCTCTTCATCAGGCTGCGTCCTTCCCTCTGCTCCCGGGAACTTCTGCACGCTGGGGCTGGGACGTGCTCCGCCTGCTCTGGCTAATTAACATGGACTAACGAATGCTGCTTTAGGTAAGCGGGCAAGTTAATTTCCATTGCACCCCCTGGAGTAGACGGAAGGAGCAGGCGTTCGCTACCCCATTTTACAGAAGAGAAGCCCAAGCCTCAGAGAAGGGACGTGCCTCAGCAAGCGCTGCACAGCTGGTTCACTGCATTCTGATCTGGGAGGAGGACAGAGTTGGGGGAGCAGTGTATCAGAGTCGGTTTTTGGGCTTGAGAAGCAGCGGAGATGGGAGTGGCACCCAGCATGGGGTGGGGGTGCCCCAGGCCAAGAACAGGGCTGATTCTGCCCTTGCACCAGACCTCCAGGAGTCTGTGCCACTCTGGGCATCTGCAGCAGCTCCTGGGGTTGGCAGGGCTAGGCCAGACCATTGGCCCCGGTGGGGCAGCTGTAGTAGACTCAGATTGAGCTGATTAATTTATCCGGGTCCCTGGCAGGAAACAGACAGGGAGCAGCTGGCTGGCTCTTTGGTGCTCCATTAATTGTGACAATGACTTTAACCCCAGATATGATGCTGCGCTGCCTGGAGCCTCTGACAGCAGAGCGGGGTGTGGAGCAGGGGTCCTTCTTGGGTTGGGGAGACTCGGAAGCATAAACTCTTTCAGGTGAGGATCGCACTTCCTGGGACCCCTTTGGAAACAGGAAATCTTCCCACATGGTCCCTGGAGGCAGGCGCGGTGGGCTGTGAAGATGCTGTCAGTTCAGTATCATATTCGGGCCATTTGTCAAGTGCCTTCCTGTGCCAGGCCTGAGCTAAGCACTTTGCAGAAAGTTTCCCACTGCATCCTCTCAAACCTAGCTGAAGTGGGGCCTGCTTGAGTCCCATTTTACAGATGTGGGCACTGAGGATCAAGATGAGACTAGATGGAGGGGCTTGGGATGGGGAGGAAAAGACTTGAGATGCCCATGACCTTCTCTCTAGCACTTGTGGAATAAGCCCAGAATTCCACAGATTCTCAGAGCATCTGGTCATGAAGCCCCCCTCTCCCTTTAAGCAATAGGCTCTCTCGTTCAAGGACAATTGAAGAAGGTCAAGGTGTTGCATATGTGAAGGAACCAGGACAGGGGCCCAGAGACCAACCCTCCCTCTGCCCTCGTCCTCCAGCTCCTCCTCGGGGCCCTCATGAGTCCCTGAAGTCAGCTCAGCAAGGACTGCTCCTGGCCAGCTGGTGCTCAGCAACTGAGGAAGTTAGGGCTGTCCCCTCCCCTGTCTTCTGCAGACCTCCACCCTTGCAGGAGGGTACAGGAGAGTGCAGTGCCAGGTTGACAGGTAAACTACAGATGCCCACACCCAGGAGGGCTGGGGAGGGGCCTGGGAGTCTTACCCACCTGAATTCCCTGGGCTTATCACCTGGCACTGCCTGGTCTGGTGGACCTGGGGCACTTGGGACAGGGAGTGTTTGTGGTATCTTTCTTTCTTGCTTGCTTATTCTGATGAAATACACATAATGTAAAGTTTACCGTCTTAACCCTTTTTAAGTGCACAGCTCGGTGATATGTAGTGCATTCACATTGCTGTGTGGCCATCACCACCACCACTGCCAGGACTCCTTTCATCCTGCAAAATGGAAACTCCGCACACTTAAACAGTCACTGCCTCTCCCTGCCAGCCCCTGGCAGGCAGCGTTCTACTTTCTGTCTCTCTAAATCCGACTAGGTACTGCATATATGTGGAATCCTAAGGATATTTGTTCTTTGTTTCTAGCTTATTTCATTTGGCATGTCTTTAAGGTATATCAGAATTTCCTTCCCTTTCAAAGCTAATACTCCATTATAGGTATATTCCACATTTTGCTTATCTACTGGTTCATTGACGTACACTTGGGTTCCTTCCACATTTTGGCTATTGTGAATAATGCCGCCATGCATAGGGGTGTACAAATATCTTTTTGGGACCCTGCCTTCAATTCTTTGGGATATATACCCAGAAATGGGATTGCCAGATCATATGGTAATTCTATTTTAAACACTTTGAGAAGCTGCCATACTGTTTTCCACAGCAGCTGCACTATTTTACAGTCCCACCCGTAATGCACATGGTTCTAATTTCTCCACATCCTTGCCAACACTTATTATTATCTTTTTTTTTTTTTTTTTTTTTGAGAGGGAGTCTCGCTCTCTCGCCCAGGCGGGAGTACAGTGGTGTGATCTTGGCTCACTGCAACCCGTCTCCCAGGTTAAAGTGATTCTCCTGCCACAGCCTCCCGAGTAGCTGGGATTATAGGCACACGCCACTGCATCTGGCTAATTTTTGTGTTTTTAGTAGAGATGGGGTTTCTCCATGTTGGCCAGGCTGGTCTTGAACTCCTGACTTCAGGTGATCCACTTGCTTCGGCCTCCCAAGGTGCTGGGATTACAGGTGTGAGCCACCGTATCCAGTCTTATTATTATTATTTTTTATAACAGTCATCCTAATGTGTGTGAAGTGGTATCTCATTGTGGTTTTGGTTTGTATTTCCCTAATGATTAGCGATGTTGAGCATCTTTTCATTTGGCCATCTGAATATTTTCTTTAGAGAAATGTCTGTTCACGTCCTTTGCCCATTTTCTAATCGGACTGTTTCCTTTCTGTTGTTGTTGAGTTGTGGGAATTCTTTATGTATTCTGGATATTAATCCCTTATCAGCTACATGATTTGCATATAGCTTCCCCCATTTCATGGGTTACCTTTTCAGTCTGTTGAGAGTGTCTGGTTTATTTCGAAATCACTGTTGCCCAGCCAGCAGGCAGCACAGAAGCAATTACACTCAACTTTCTCACATCCTGGGATTCCCTTGAGTGGGACCCAGGCCAGCCCAGGGAAACAGCAAGAAGAGCAGGGTGGAGGGAGTCTGTGGATCAGGCAGTCACTCAACAAGCAGCAGTGCAGGAGAGGCTGCTGAAGGATTTGAGGTGGGGGCAAGGCATAATCTGGTTCGTATATTAGAAAGATCCCTCTGGCAACTGATACGGAAATTGGACTTACTGACTTCCCCAGGCAAGTCCTCCCACTCTAAGAAAGATAGAAGGAGCCACAGAGAAATGAGGGCAGAGCTTTGGCATCAGGCAGGCCCGATTCCCATCCAGCCATTGCTCGATAACGACATGACCTCACACGTGTGGCTCACAGGTCAGAGCCTCTACTTCCTCATCTCAAGAGTTAGTAAATAACACTTCCCCTTTAGATTGTGGCCCTCTGCGAGATCACGTCTTCAGGGGGCCTGGCATCTGGTAGCTATGACAGTCCACCAGCAGGCCAGCTCCTTTGTCTTTTTTTCCCCAGCGTTCCCAGCACAAAACACAGGGTCACTGGCAAAAGAAGGTGAGGTGCTGGCTGTGCTTCAGTGGCTGTGTTCTCTCTGCCCACAGTGGGACTCCATCAACGAGGTGGATGAGTCCTTCCAGCCCATCCACACGTACCAGGTGTGCAATGTCATGAGCCCCAACCAGAACAACTGGCTGCGCACGAGCTGGGTCCCCCGCGACGGCGCCCGGCGCGTCTATGCCGAGATCAAGTTTACCTTGCGCGACTGCAACAGCATGCCCGGCGTGCTGGGCACCTGCAAGGAGACCTTCAACCTCTACTACCTGGAGTCGGACCGCGACCTGGGGGCCAGCACGCAAGAAAGCCAGTTCCTCAAAATCGACACCATTGCGGCCGACGAGAGCTTCACAGGTGCCGACCTTGGTGTGCGGCGTCTCAAGCTCAACACGGAGGTGCGCGGTGTGGGTCCCCTCAGCAAGCGCGGCTTCTACCTGGCCTTCCAGGACATCGGTGCCTGCCTGGCCATCCTCTCTCTCCGCATCTACTATAAGAAGTGCCCCGCCATGGTGCGCAATCTGGCTGCCTTCTCGGAGGCAGTGACGGGGGCTGACTCTTCCTCACTGGTGGAGGTGCGGGGCCAGTGCGTGCGGCACTCGGAGGAGCGGGACACGCCCAAGATGTACTGCAGTGCGGAGGGCGAGTGGCTGGTGCCCATCGGCAAATGTGTGTGCAGTGCCGGCTACGAGGAGCGGCGGGATGCCTGTGTGGGTGAGCGCCCATGGCCTGGGCATGGGTCAGCCGGCAGCGGCGCTTGGGCTGGGCAGGACTGCCAGGGTGTGAGGGGGGACGTCAGAGCCCACAGGCACCTGGGTGGCCCACACAGGCCCTGGGAAGATGGATAAACCTCCAGTGTTCCTACATCAGCAAATACGCCAGGCCACCTGTGTCCGTGTGTTGGGAAAGGACGTGGAAGCAAGAGGAGGGGAGAAGGAGGGAAACAGACTCCAGCCAGGCGGTGCCTTCTGTCGGGGGGTACCAGCTAAAGGCACCTGTGCAATTGGGTATGCTATGGGATTCCTACCCGGATTAGGGAACGATACCGTGGGCTAACTCAGATCAGACATAGTTCTAAGCACTTTGCGAGTATTAACTCATTGAATCCTGGCCACTGCGTTATGACATAGGAACTGCTATTATCCTGGTTTTATAGATGAGGAGACTGAGACACAGGCAAAGCAACTTGCCCAAGGTCATGCAGCTGGGGATGGCAGGGCTGGGATTTCAACTCAGAAGTCTGGCTCCAGAGCTGGTGCTCGAAAACACTGAACTTCCAACCTGTAGAGTAGAGGGAAGTGCGACCTGGGCCCTGGGTGAATAAGCACAGTGAGGGGTATAAAGCCAGGGGCACCCGGGGAGTACAGTCTGGGTTGGGCCTGTCCCTGGGGCCCTGAAAAGGCTGCTTCTGTTCAGGGGGAGCTTATCAGCGACCTGTGCTAGAAGACAGGCAAGGGCCTTGTGGAGGAAGACAGCGAGCAGAGAGCCCCTGGGCCATGACTTAGGGTGGCACCTGTACCCATAGGTGTGCTGCTGGGTTCCTGTGTCAGACCAGGAGCAGGGCATGCAGACGGGGGAGCCTAGGCCCAGGTGGTGTGAGTGTATGTATGCGTGTGTGCAAGTGTACATATGCATGTGTGGGTACGTGTGTGCATGTGTGCGTGAGTGTATGTACACGTGTGTACGTGTGCACGAATGTGTATGCATGTGTGTGTGCATGTGTGTGTGTATGTATGCATGTGTGTACATTTGTGCATGAGTGTATGCATGCATGTGTGTGCACGTGTGTGTATGCATGTGTGCGTGAGTGTATGTGTTTCTGTGAGCATGAGTGTACGTGTGCATGTGTGTGCATGTGTGTGCGAGTGTATGTGTGCATGTATGCAAGTGTATCTGTGCGTGTGTGTGTCTATGTGCGTGTGTGCATATGTGCATGATGGCCCTTGAGTGTGTGCATGTGCACGTGAGTGTATGTGCGCGTGAGTGTATGTGCACGTGAGTGTGCACGTGCGTGTGTATGTATGTGTGTGTGCATGTGCGTGTGAGTGTATGTGTGCATGTTTGCGTGTCCACGTGAGTGTGTGTGTGCATATGTGTGCAGTGTGTGCACGTATTTGTGCAGTGTGTGTGCATGTGCATGACTGTGTGCATGTGTGTGCATGTGTGTGTGCGTGTGTGTGTGCATGTTTGTGTGCATGTGTGCATGAGTCTGTGTGCGTGTGTGTATATGTGCAAGTGTATGTGTGCATGTGTGCGTGATTGTATGTGTGTGCATGTGTGCGTGAGTGAATGTGTGACTTTGTACGTGTGCACACGTGTGCATGAGTGTGTGCGTGTGTGCATGTGTGTGAGTGTATGCATGAGTGCATGTGTGTGCATGTGTGCATCAGTGTGTATGTGTGTGCATATGTGTGTGAGTGTATGTATGCATGTGTGTGCATGTGCGCTTGAGTGTATGCGTGCATGTGTGCATGAGTGTGTGCATGTGTGCACACGTGCATGTGGGTGTATGTGTGCATGAGTGTATGTGTGCATGTGTGCATGTGTGTGTGCATGTGTGTGTGCATGTGGGGGAGTCTGTTCAGCCGGGCACCCCAAGAGCAGGGAACACTAAGCAAGCTTGTGTGGACAAACAGCAGGTGCCCAGCTGCTCCTGGTCTTGGCCCAGCTTCTCTCTGTTGTTTTCTTTGGTCTCACCAGTGGCTGGGCACATGGTGGCTCAGCTCCCGGGGCACAGTGAAGCCTGGCTTTTGAGATCGTTGGATCTCAAAAGAGGAGACAGAGGAGGTGAAAGGGAGGGGGATGTTCCTATGCAGGGATCAGAGAGACAAGAGCCTGTCCCCAGATACCCTTAGTGACAACTGGAACGGGGCCCTTGTCAGCCGCTGGGAATATGCTCCTAGCCTTTTGCTGCTACTACACAGGCCCTGGGACCACAGTGAGAGGGATCTTTAGTCCTCATCACCCATCCCTCTGCCCCCAGCAGGCAGGCGGGAAAGGCCCCTAAGCACTAACAGGACTGGGCATGACATAGGCTGACAGCCTCAGGTAATAACAGGTGGGGATGGAATCCAGCTGGCTCCATTTAGGAGCCGTCTTGCCCAGAGATCTCTGGGGCCAGGATCTTCCCTGCAGTCACCAGGCCCTTTCCAGCCCTTCCCAGAGGCTCGATGTTTCTTTCTTTCTTTTCTTCTTTTATTTCTTTTTTCTTTCTTTTCTTTCTTTCTCCTTCCTTCCTTCCTTCCTTCCTTCCTTCCTTCCTTCCTTCCTTCCTTCCTTCCTTCCTTCCTTCCTCCCTCCCTCCCTCCCTCCCTCCCTTTTTTTTTTGGAGATGGAGTTTTCACTTTTGTTGCCCAGGCCGGAAGTGCAATGGTGTGACCTCAACTCTCTGCAACCTCCGCCTCCCGGGTTCAAACAATTCTCCTGCCTCAGCCTCCCGAGTAGCTAGGATTACAGGCACCCACCACCACGCCCAACTTATTTTTGTATTTTTAGTAGAGACGGGGTTTCACCATGTTGGCCAGGCTGATCTCAAACTCCTGACCTCAAGTGATCCGCCTGCCTCGGCCTCCCAAAGCGCTGGGATTACAGGTGTGAGCCACCGCCTCCAACCCGCTATCTGGTTTTCTTAAGAAATTTTGTTTCACATCCCCAATTTCTGAGTCTTCTCCTGTCCTGAGCTCTAAACCCCAAAGCACCTTCTGTGGCGTTTGCCCATTTCTGGATTTGTTCTGCCCTCTGCAGTCTGGTTTGCCAGGCTCCCCAGGCCACAAGCCTCTCATGGCTACTGTCACAGACAGCCCCGTATGGCTCAGCTTTGCACTGGGGAAGAAAAACAACCAACACCCCTATTGCCTTCACAGCTTATGGTGGGATGCATCACATACCAGCTCATTTGCTCATTGCAGCAAGGCAAGTATCACAACTCCATTTTACAGGTGGGGAAGCTGAGGTGTAAGAGGTAGTGTCACCTGCTTAGGCCTCACAGCTGGTGAGAGCTGGAGCCTGAAGACAGGTCTATATTGCTCTGAGCCAGATACAGGCTTTTAGCGTCTCCCTGGCTGCTTTGCCCGCCAGAGCTGCTCCAAACATCATTCTGATGGGGATAATGAAGGACCTTAGTGATGATGTTTCGTCTTTGATGTTATAACAGTTATCCATTCTGCTGAGCATCTACTGTGTCCCGGCATTGGGGATACAGGTACAGGGAGTCCCTGCCTCTGGGGACTTAGCAGTTTCCTATCCTTACAACAGTCCTCTAAGCTAAGTATTATAGTCCCATTTTACAGATAAGAAAAACTGAGGCCTCTCAATTTAAGTCGCAGAGTAGTGATCTGATCCCAGGTTGCCTGATTCCATTCTTCAATGGCTTCCTCTGTGCACAACGCCCTTTGCGAAGCCCCACTTCCCTCCTCCATGGGGTAGCGTTCGGATGGATGGTTAGTAACTGGTACAGCATAAGTCATAACAATCTGGCTGGTTGGCCGGTGCATATGCACTCAGGGTCAGCCACCATCCCCAACTCTGGATTTAGCCAGTGAGTACAAATACGGCAATCATTTGTCCCGGGTGCACTGAGCCACATTTGTCTGTAGGAAGGAGACCTGCCCTCCTGTCTTTGGGGTCACGACCTCACTTGGAGGCCTCAGGTAACGCCACAGTCTTTGTGGCAGAGGAAGGAAGCAGAGCCCAGAGAGGGAATGTATCTTGCCCAATTTTCACAGCACATCAGGGGTGGGGCTGGGTGGAAACCCCAGGGCCTGAGTGGCAGGACCTCACGGGGGCTAGGAGAGGCCAAAGCCACTCCTATTTCCTGGCGTTGCTGCCACGTCAATAACAAATAAAAAGAAATGCCAAAGCGGAGTTAGGGAATTGCAGCATATTTTGAATTTTACATTTAAATCATAATACAACATAATTATGCCAGTTTCAAGATAATTACAGGTTTTATAAAAAATATTAATTCATAGTGCACTGCAGGCAGTGAGATTTGGGAACGGAAAGCCTGTTTTAAGTCACACAAGGAAAGACATTTCTCAGCCCCGTTGGTGGCTTCTGTAGCTGTATAACTTCATTTGGGAAGGGCAGCACGGGTCCCAAACCAAGGCCCTTCAAAAGTGATAGCCAGGTCCAAGAGCCCCGCCTCGTCCCCCTTTCCACCCCTGGAGAAGCCCTTGACCTCTTTGGAGCTGCCCGGCTCCTTAGTGGATGGCCTGGGGCAAAGGAGGGAACAGAGTGGGGTACTTTTCCTGGGATACTTGAGATGTTATCTGCAAGCTGGGGCTGCCCCTGCCCAGCCTGAGGAAGTCTTCAGGAGATCTCCTGAGGTCCATGGGGCCCCTGCCTGGTTTGAGGACATCCTGATCCCTTTTGGGCAATTCTCTCAGCAAGCAGTTAAGGAGAGGAAGGGCATGGAGTCAGGGGTCTCAGCTCACCCAGCCCTGAGTCCTTGTCCTTCTAGTGACAGGAGCAGGGGTCGAGAGCCTGAGACCCACAGTAGCGGCCAGGCCCCCTTCTACAGCTGCCATCCCTGCCTCGGGTTTTGCCCTCAGAGGTACCCTCAGAAGGTGGCCAGACAGTACTTGATTTTGCAGAAGACAGTATAGCCTGGGATAAGGGATCCAGCAGGTCACATGGCTCTTTAGAGGTCTTGCTTAGATTGCACTCAGCCCTCAGAGACCCATGGAAAAATGTCAGAGCGATGTGGGGCTCGTCCAGTTTACCACTGGGGAATTGGAGGCCCAGAGAAGTGAAGTGACTAGCCCAAGGGCACACAGTGAGGGGTGGTTGATAGAATCTCACATCTCCCGACTCCTTGACCAGAGGAAGCTCCCCAAACTCCACAACTCTGGATCCAGTGACCTCCCCACACCAGGCTGTACTTCCCAGCACCCCCCTGCACCCCAGTTCACCCCAGAAAGGGGAAGGGCCTCTCAGCACATCACCCAACAGGGCAGCAGCCCAGAGTCTGAAGTCCTGGTTGCCGTCCTTCCTGTCACCTGGACGCAGAATATAAATCACCCTTCGCGGCCCTAATCATCTTTCTATAAATATCAGAGCCTCATTTCGGAGGGGGAGCAGGAACAGCAAGCTCTTTTGCCTTCCTGACTGTGTTTAAAATCTGATTTAGAATTAATTTCCTTTGGTTGTCCACCGGCGGACACCTTATTTGTCAAATCTCCGGCTCTTTGCGGGGGAGAGCAGAGAGGTGGCCGGGGCCGCAGGCAGCTGCTGGCCTGACAGGCGGCCTGGGCAAGGTGCCCTCGGCAGGGGCAGGAGCCCCTCCTGGCTTGCAGCCCGACACCCGGCCACACGCAGGCTCCGGAAGCACCCCGGGTCGACAGGCAGGGCCGAGCCCCAGCCCAGAGCTGCTCCATCTGTCTCAGCCATTAATTCCCGGCCCAGCCTCCAGGTCTCTGGGCTCCCTGAGGCCTGGTGATTAGTATTCTTATTAAAGATTATTTTATTTTCATTGCGTGGATTAATCTGGCCTTGACACGTTATAGCCATATGGGTATTAGCTGAGTGTGTGAGAACTGCCGACTGGTGAGCCACAGCGGCGCAGCTATCTCTCAGCTCTGGGATGGTGCTACGAAGACAGGGGGAAAGGCCATAGCTCCAGAGGCTCCCCAGCCTGGCTGCACGGCCTGGCTCTGCTGGGAACCTGGGGCAAGGCACTCAGCCTCCCTGAGCCTCTGTTTCCTCTTCTGTCGAACAATTGTAAGAATTCCAGCTACATCAAATTGTTATAACAACATGTGCCAGGCACTGCCCTGGCATGAATTTATGTGTCTTCACTCATGTCATCCTTGCCATCTCCCTCTAAGGCGGGTGGAATTATGATGTCCACCTTACAGACGAGGAAACTGACTTCCAGCAACTTGCCCAATGTCACCGAGCTCAGATAAAGGGGGTTAGGCAAGGACGGGAACCCAGGCACTGCTCCCGAGTTTCTGCCCAGGCCTGACAAGGACCAGGTGGGCCCTGAAAGGGTCAGAGACTTGCAGGATCAGCTGTGGTTCTGGCTTCCCTCAGGCCCCGCATCACCCCATGAGGCTTTGTTTGTCTGTCTCCCAATGCTCTGGAAGCTCCCTAAGAGCAGGCCCAGCTCTTACTTCTCTTGGGTCCATAGTAGAAGCTCAGTAAATTTGGAGAAAGGAATAAATGGGGGAGGGAAGAAGCAAATGGTCTCCGAGGTGTTAATCATTGTGGACTGGATCATTGCAGTGAGGATTACTGTTATTCAGCTCAACAGCAGGCTCAACAAATATTTGCTGACAAAATGCAAAGCCCTCTTCTGATGATGCCACCCCCAGCGGCCCCCGGGGCTCAGAAGGAGCCTGTGCCCCAGGCTGTGTCCCAGGACTGAGCCTCCCGGGGGACTTCTGGGAAGAGGAGGCGAGATCACAGTGTGTCAATCAAGACTCCCCGGGACTCCGAGCTCCCAGCCTTGAGCTCAGCCCCTAGGCAGGCCGGAGCCCTCTGGGGGTCTTTTGGAGGGGAGGGAAAGATGTCGCAACACTGGGAGGTATTTTCCCGCACCCTGCCACTTACAAGCCCTTTCTGGCTCTGCAGCCTTCTAGAGTGTGAAGCAACTTCAGGGCGTTACCATTTCTCCTGACTCCAGGTTTTCTCTCAAGTTTGTAGAATTGTACAAATGAACCTGGTTTTAGCTTTTATAATAAAGAGATACGATCAACATCCAGAGAAGAAATGCTCTGCAGTGGCGTGATGTCTTTGTAAATGAAGCTTCTCTCAGGCACTAAGTTTTCCAGAACAGGATCTAGTGGAGAGAGAACCGCAGTGAACTTCCTGGTGGTTCCCTGTTGCAAAGGACTTCAGCTCCATGGACGCACCCGGGAGCTGCCTGGCTGGGTGGCATTTGATCTCCTTGAACCTGTAGGGTTTCTGCCCAGAGCAGATAGTGGTGGGATCCACTCAATTTGAAAACTCCTGCCTGGAGTTTAACAGCATCTGCCCAGGGCTAGCACTGGACCAGGTTCTGGGACATTGAGATGAATAAGGGAGTGCTACTCTGTTTGCAAGGATCTGCCCACAAGGGCCTGTCAGTCTAGAAAGAGAGTCAGACACAGACAAGCGAGTACAGCCATAGTGTTGCAGGTGGTGAGGCCAAGCAGGGGCTGCAGGAGCAGGGCAGAGAATGGTCCTTTCTGTGTCTGTGTGTGTGTGTGTGTGTGTGTGTGTGTGTCCAGAGTTCCAGAAGGGACAGTCAAAATTAATCTTAAAAGAGGAGCTCAGTAGGTGGACAAAGGAGAAAAGGCATCGCAGGAAGAGGGCACAGCATGTGCAAAGGCCCTGAGGCAGGAATCAGCCGGCTGGGTGTGGGGATCGGCCAGTGCTTTAGTTTGGCCTAAGGATGGAGGTGAGGGGCAGCACTAAAGGAGGCTGCAAGTGGGTTTTGGCCGGGCAGGGAGGGATTTGAACACCAGGTTTCATTGTGTAAGCCCTGGGGAGCCTGTGAGGTGCGAAATAGGCAGTGACTGTCTGAGATGTGCATTTTGGAGACTCCCTCAACCGAGGGTATCCCCCTCCCTACACAGTGGACTCGTTCTTATTCTTTAGGCCACAACTCAAATATCATCTCCTCCTCTGGGAAGTAGCTCCTCCCACCATTTACCCTTCCTTCACCTTAGCCTCCTCTTCTCTCTCTCCCTCGTAGCAGTGATCACAGCTGAGAGCCAGTGGCTCTGGTTCACAGCCCTCGGAGGCCCAAACAGGCCTGGTCCAGAGTCGTGCTCATGAACAGTGGTTGACTGAAAGCATGATCATGCAGGCAGCTGTGGGGTGGAGGCAGGGCTGGAGGCTGAGTCTGAAGGCTGCTGTGGGTGAGAGATGAGGTAGGGTGTGGCAGAGGCTGGAGAGAGGGTCAGTCCCAGCCACAGTGACAGTGACAGTGACAGTGGGGGCCCGGGAGGGGAGGAGCCTGCACTTCTTGGACAGTCAGCCTCCCACGGGGAGCTTGTAAAACAGATCCCCAGGTACTGGCCCTGGCTCTTCTAACTCAGCTGTCTGTGGTGGGGCCAGGAATCTGTATTTTTACAGAGGTGGCTCCGTGTCTGCCCGTGTTTGGGAGCGATGGGTCTTACCACATGTCCTCACCTTTCTAGTCGCATTCCCAGCAACCCCATCCCTGGCTGGCTTCCTCATCCCACCCAAGTCACTCCCAGGGCATTTGATCCTCAGCCCCATGGCCCTGGCCCCTAGGCTGGTGTCCCACGTAAGGACCAGTGTCCCATAAAGGACAGAAGGACAGCATCTCCACCCCTAAAGCTGGAGACAGGGCCTGGGGGAGGGATCAGAGGAGGGTGGGAGAATTTGGAGACGCTCGGGGTGGGGCTGACTTTGAGGCTGGGACTCCCATGTCAGGGTCTTCACTTTAGCTCTGCCCTGACTGGCTGTGGAAGACACAGGCCCCCTGTGCACTTCAGTTCTGCCACCTGCAAATGAGGGCGGCACTGGGCAGTGCTGAAGGTCTGCACCTCCGTCCCTCTGAGGGACCGCCAGGAAGCTGTGGGCCCCAGTGTGAGCTGTCCCCAAGGCCTGCCAGGGTGGCCCTGCTGGCTCACGTGCAGCCACCTTCTCCTCCACAGCCTGTGAGCTGGGCTTCTACAAGTCAGCCCCTGGGGACCAGCTGTGTGCCCGCTGCCCTCCCCACAGCCACTCCGCAGCTCCAGCCGCCCAAGCCTGCCACTGTGACCTCAGCTACTACCGCGCAGCCCTGGACCCGCCGTCCTCAGCCTGCACCCGTGAGTACCACTCCCAGATGCCAGCACCCTTGAGTCCAAGACTGGGCTGGGCCCCTGTGTTTGGTTCTCCAGGCCTCAGAGAGCCAGTTCTCTGCTGGTGGGCAGGGGCAGGTGGCTCTCTTGGGCTAGAGGTCAGACTGGGGTCAGGGGGTGACTCTGACCCCTCCACGGTGGCCTAGACCTCTCTGGGCTCCCCGCCTCTGCCACGTGTCACCTACACTGGAGGGCAGAATGAGCTGGCCTCACTTCCTTCACCACGCTGAGCAGTTTTTGTCATCTTCTGATCTAGCAGCGATGCCGATGTCCTGGGGGCCAGGTGGGCAAGCCAGGGTGCTGGCCTGTGCGGAGAGGGTGAGGGTTAGAGCAGCAACCCCTCCATCACCATCATCTTTGATGAACTTGTTGGAACTACTGAATGCTGAGAGCTGCCTTAAGTGTGTATGGTGTGTGTGCGTGTGTGTGCACACATGGAGTTTGCATGTCTGATTCTGTATGTGCCCTGGGCCCCCTGCAAGGATTGTGTGGTTGCATGTGTCTGTGTGGGCAGCTGCTCTTACAGATGACGCCTGTATCATGTTTGGATGCCTGCGTGTAAATGTGTGGTGTGTAGTTTAGCTCACATATATAAAGGATTCATCACATATATTAAGGATTCTCAGGAGGAGGTGTGTGTGTGTGTGTGTGTGTGTGTAGGTGTATGTACATCTGGGTACCTGAAAGGGACTCAGAAGTCCTTGTAAAGCTTGAACGAGGGTGTCTTGTGAGCTCAGCACGTGTGTGTGCGCACATGCACACCTGGCTCTGCAAGGGCGCCTGTGCCTGGAGAGGGTGTGGCTGCATGTGCACCAGCCCTGCGGACCTGAAGGTATGGGAGGGATTCTGTGCCCATGCCTGCAGGGCCGCGTGACTGTCCTACCTTCTGCTGATGCAGTGCCTGGGTTCTCTCCTCTCATCTGTCCTGACGGGCCACTCATACTCCCATTCCAGGCCTGGGGAGAGACCACAGCCTGCTCAGCCCAGCCCAGTTGCCAACCCTGGGCTCTTGTGGTAGGGCAAGAGGCGCTCCAGACTGTTCTGATTTTGCTCTGAATCTACCCAAGCACCGACGCCCATCTCCCCCTCCCATACATCCATCACCACCCAGCCCCAGACTCCCTGCACATGGCAGGCGAGGGCCCAGGTGCATTCATGCCTACACGCTTGTGCACATACACACAGACACACACACCCCCCCTGCCTCCACTGCCCTGCCCAGATCTGTGCATTTTCCCCATGTGGGACCTGTTGGGGCAGAAAAGGTGGCCAGGTGACAGGGTGACAGCGTGGGCTCCTCAGGCAAGGCGAGTCCGGCCCCAGGTCATGGACACTTGCGTGGAGCTGGCTGGACTCGGGTTTCTTTCCACACCCACAGTTCAGTGCCTTTAGGTTCTGGAAAGCTTGAGACTATAAAGGCTGATCTTTTCGTATTCTATACCCTTCAGATGTTAAAATTCTCTTCTCTTCAGATTGTAAGATTCTGATTCCAAGATCTTACAATTCTGTTTTCTGAAGATCTAACATTCTCTGCCTGGGATTCTGAAAACTAGAATTCTGAGGCCAGGGGCCCCCACAGACCCCCATGCTCTCCTCGCTCAACCCCCCACCCCAGCCCCTCATGCCCCAGCCCCACGTCCTGGTCTGCTCAACCAAGGGGTCACCCCTCTCTCTCCAAAGTCTTTGTGCTGCCCAGACAGAGGCTCCCATGCCCGGGGTTGGGGAGGGGTTGCTTGGTACACACAGCCATGGGGATATGCAGTGGGCTTCTGGGGACCTCCACTTAATCCTATAGTGCGTGCTCAGTGGCGTTTTATAGCAGATCCAGCTCAGAAGGGTCAAGGAATGAATGTGGCTGCAAATGCCTGGGTCACTTACACACGGGGTGGCTGCTATGGGCGCCCCCGGGACTGTGCGGTCTCTCTCCCGCTCTGGGTGGGCGCTGGGACTCCCAGACCCTGGGATCACGGTGGTCCTGATGGGCGGGGGAGATGGGGTCCCAGGGTTCTGTGCCCAGACTCTGACATTGTGGTCCCAGTCTGATGGCAGAGACACAAACTCTGCTGTTGGGGAGGCTCCAGGGGATGGTGTAGATGTGACCCTATCCTTAAGGAGCCCTAAATATGGTGGGGAGCCCTTCCCTTGGGGAGCCCCAGGTCTGACGATAGGAAGACAGGATGGCCCAAATAAATAATCACTGCCCCACCTGTCATCCTCTGCCCTTAGGGCCGCCCTCGGCACCAGTGAACCTGATCTCCAGTGTGAATGGGACATCGGTGACTCTGGAGTGGGCCCCTCCCCTGGACCCAGGTGGCCGCAGTGACGTCACCTACAATGCCGTGTGCCGCCGCTGCCCCTGGGCCCTGAGCCGCTGCGAGGCATGTGGGAGCGGCACCCGCTTTGTGCCGCAGCAGACAAGCCTGGTGCAGGCCAGCCTGCTGGTGGCCAACCTGCTGGCCCACATGAACTACTCCTTCTGGATCGAGGCTGTCAATGGCGTGTCCGACCTGAGCCCCGAGCCCCGCCAGGCCGCCGTGGTCAACATCACCACGAACCAGGCAGGTAGGCGGAGAAGCTCCGGCCCGTAGCTTCCCGGTCCCCCAGCTTCCCCTGCCCCAGGCCCATCCAGGGATCAGAGCTCTGCCGGGACGGGACGTGCTGTGGGCCTTCAGGCAAGTGCCTCTCTGGCCCTGCCCTTCTCACCAGGACCCAGAGCTGGAGGCTCTTCATTGCCTTTAGAAAAGTGGAACATGTTCTATCAGTAACAGAAATCCCAAAAGCTCAGAGGCAGGCTAGTGTGGCTGTCGAAAGCCTAGGTTCCAGAATTTTCCCTCTCTGCGCCTCTGTTTCCTCCCTGGTGCAATGGGAATAATAGTACCTGCCCGAGGTCCTCTCAGGAGGCTTAAATGAGAGGAATGAAATTGCTTAGCCCAGCACCTGGCCCGTGGTAAATGCTCAATAAATGTCATTAAAAAATAAAATCACTCTGATGATCATTTTCCAGAACAGCTGCTACAGCTGCCCCTGGGATAGACTTGGCTTCACTGGCTTGCACCACAGTCATTTATCCATCAGTTTCTGGCCAGCTGGTGGGCAGAATTCACCCCAGAACCTCTTTCTTCCCAAACTCTGGAGGATCCTGCCTGTTAAGTGACAGGCTGACCCAACAACCCGCCCAGGGCAGCTTCCTATTAACAGCCACCCTCACCTGTGCCCAGGACCCTCAGGCCCCCACCCACCATCTCCTCCCAAAACCATGCAGCCCTGGCCCCACAGACACTATGCCTACCATGTCACAGAGGAAGAAACTAAGGTCTGGAGAGCCACCCAGGGCCACCTGACATAGGAAGTGGCAGAGGCAGGGCTCAAACCCAGGTCTGTGTCACTCCCAAGTGAAGCAGGTCCCCCCAACTCTGAATCCAGGGAATGCTGTTCCGTGGCGCCAGGGCCTCACCCCTTCAGAAGATTCCCTCATTCTACAGCCCTCGTGGAGCACCCACTAAATGCCAAGCGTGGTGCCAGGTGCCGGCAACACAGAGAGAAAGCAACCTATGTGACCCGTGGTAGAGCCCAGCCCTTGCCCACCTGTCTCTAGGCACCTGAGGCCCCTGGCAGGCTGGTCCCAATAGAGGGGAGAGCAAGAGAAGCCCACAGCATTCAGGCAGCCTCCAGGAAGCCCCAACATTAAAGAGGAACTAGACCCTGCCTTGAACCTGCCTTCCCTTCCAGCCACCAGACCGTTTCTCTTCCCATAAGACCCTCTCTGTCCATGCCTGGCGTATCTACTGCCTCTCCCCTGTGGGCCTTCTCTGCATCTTTCCTCACCTCTCCACAGAAGTCAGCAGCGCCGCATGGCCACATCCATGGGCGTCCCTCCCCCTTTCATTTCCTCCTCCTGGGAACACTTTTCTCTTGCTCCTGTGTCCCAGCCCACCCTCATTTTCCATCAACCTGTGTGGCCTGTTCCTCTCATCTTTGTAACCCCACCTCCTCTAAATGGCCTTTAAAGGCCACAGGTCCCTGGGAATGTCCTGGGCCCTCCTCTCTTTCCTGTGTGCCCAGATCCATCTTTTCTGGGCGGCTGTTTCAGCACCCATGACTTTGAATTCCATCTTCATACTAACAACCCCAACTCGCAGTCACCAGCGCAGACCTCTCCCCTGGGACCCAGCTGCCCTCTCCCGTCTCCATTCGGTTGTGTGTCGGTAATGTGAAAAACAAACAACCCTGCCACACCTGCACCTGCCCCGCCCTAGGACGTGGCACCCTCAAACCCAAGCTGTCATCCTTGACTCTCATGCATGTCACATCCATCCACCTGAAAGCCCCAGGGGCCTCCCTTCAAAATGACCAACTGACTTCCACCCCCCACGAGTCCATGCCTGGACCACCACAGGAGACCCCTCTTACCTCACCCCCACAAGACATTCTCCACACCACTTCTGAGTGAGCTTTAAAAATAGAAGTGAGGGCTGGGCATGGTGGCTCACGCCTGTAATCCCAGCATTTTGGGAAGCCAAGGCAGGAGGATCGCTTGAGGCCAGGAGTTTGAGACCAGCCTGGGCAACATGGCAAGACCCCATCTCTGCAAAAAACTTTCTTTTTTTGAGACAATGTCTCAATCTGTCGCCCATGCTGGAGTGCAGTGGCACAATCACAGGTCACTGCAGTCTTGGTCTCTGGCGCCCAAGTGATCCTCCCATCTCAGTCTCCCAAGTAGCTGACCAAAGGCACACAGCACCGTGCCCAGTGATTTTTTTTTTTTTTTTTGGTAGAGATGGGGTCTCCCTATATTTCCCAGGCTGATGTGAAACTCCTGGGCTCCAGTGATCCTCCTGCCTCAGCCTCCCACAGTGCTGGGATTACAGGCATGAGCCACCGTGCCCAGCCCCCCAAAATTTTTTAAATGAAAATATGTGAGATCAAGCTGTCCTCAAAGCCCTTCACAGCCCAGGCTGAGTGCACATGCAATTCAGACATTCTCATGGCCTGTGGACCCACATGGCTTCGCCCCTGCCTGCCTCTCCAGAGCACCTCTTTCCCTGGCTCACTCTCTTCTGGTCACGATGGCCTCCGGTGTCCCTCGTTGAACACGCTGGGTCTTTCTCTGCTGCTAGGCCGTGGCCTGGCTTCTCCTTCGGAATGACTCGCTCTTCCCCTGACATTCCCATGCCTGGCTCCTCTGCCCTGGAAGCTCCCCCAACCATCGCAGCTGAAATGGCCCAGTGCCCTTCCGGGCCCTGCAGACGTCTTCTCCATCACAGCACCCCTTCCTACCTTTCCAGCACCAAAAGAACCCCCATTCTCCTGTTTATTGGACACCCTGTCTCCTTTCCTGGGACAGAAGCTCGTTGAGGGCTGTCTTAGGCACCGCAGTGCTCCCGGCTCCTAGCCCCATGCCCAGCATGTGGTAGGCACTCAGGAGTTCTAAAGGATCAAGCGACAGCTCTAAGCAAATGGGGAAGACTGTGCTCAAAGACCACCTGCCCCTCCTGCCTCACCATCACCACTTCTCTACAACCAGCTTCTCCCTGGAGCACTCCCGCTCTGGGCCCTGGTCTCGCTCTGTCCGTCCCCATCCCACAGCACCTCCTGCTTTGGTTTTTAAGAGACACATCCTGTGTGTCCCTTGCAAACAGTGGCCTCATCAAATCCTCCCCTCCCCCTGGCAGGTGGTGCTCATTAGCTTCACTTCATAGAAGGGGACCTGGCGTCCACAGACAGCAAGTGACTCACCCAGGGTCCCAGCTAGCGAGAGGGAGCCGAGTCCCGAACCCACGTCTGGCTCCTGGGCTGGTGGGCTTTCCCCTGGACCACACCCTTCCAGTGCAACTCTGGAGCTGCTTCTTAATTTCTCATGCCAGAATCATCAGCAGCATTTATTGGGCACCTACTCTGTGCAGTGCCTGCCCTCAGGGAGCTCCCAGTTATGCTGGGGATGCCCAGACATGAGGGAAGACTTAGTCACATAGGGTAGAGAGTCAGAACTCGGAGTGAGCAGAGGGGAGGAGGAGGCCTGAGGGCTGGAGGGGCAGGAAGGACAGCACAGTTCCCTCTGTTTGACTGTGGCTGTGGCTGTGTCTGACCCCTCCTAGCAGGCTCCCCACTGGGCTGACCGCACCTGAGCCAGGAGGGAAGGATGCATGAAGAAAGGCATGGGTGACTCCGTCAAGGAGGGAGGGGTGGATGGGCAACCAAGTGTGACCGGGAGAATACCTGGGGCTCAGCTCACCCCCTTCCCTCAGCATCCAGAGTTGTCCCAGCTACGCCCTCCAAACCCAGGCAGTAAGGGGCCCTTTCCTCCATTCTTTCTACACTTCTTTTGCCTGACCTTTCGTCCTTCCTCAAGCACTCCCAAGCAGCTGGCCCATGCCAGGCCCTGGACTGGAGAGCGAGACTCAACCCTCTTCTTGGCCAAGCCAACCCTAGCATCCCAGACCATGCCAGTCCACACCAAGCTCAGGGGACTGACCCCAAGTGGCCACCAGTGATTTGTTGAGAGAACTGGAGGGTGCTGGCTGTCCTGGGGCTGGGGCAGGACCATCAGGAAGCTGAGCAGGGCTGGAACCAGCATCCCTGGGTGGAGCCTGGGAAGGAGTGGGAGAGAGGCCACCCCCCCTTGTCTCCCATTCGCCCATCTGATGGGACTGGCCGCCCCAGCCCCGTCCCAGGTGGTGGTGATCCGGCAAGAGCGGGCAGGGCAGACCAGCGTCTCGCTACTGTGGCAGGAGCCTGAGCAGCCCAACGGCATCATCCTGGAGTATGAGATCAAGTACTACGAGAAGGTACCACGGGCAGGACTGAGCGGGTGGGGCTGGGCCATCAGGGCAGGGCCCACTGACCACCGTCCCGTGGCAGGACAAGGAGATGCAGAGCTACTCCACCCTCAAGGCCGTCACCACCAGAGCCACCGTCTCCGGCCTCAAGCCAGGCACGCGCTATGTGTTCCAGGTCCGAGCCCGCACCTCAGCAGGCTGTGGCCGCTTCAGCCAGGCCATGGAGGTGGAGACTGGGAAACCCCGTGAGTGCAGGGAGGGGGCGGGTGTGGGCGTGGAGCAGCTCAGGCGCCAGGACCCTGGGGTAGAGGGGTGGCTGAGAAGAGAGCTAGTGCGAGCTGAGCTGGTGCCAATGCAGGATTTCTGCTCTCCTTGCCCTACCAAGTGGAGTAGTCAGAGTTTTTTGTTTAATTGAGACAGTTTCACTCTGCCACCCAGGCTGGAGTGCAGTGGCGCAATCTCAGCTTATTGCAGCCTCCACCTCCTGAGTAGGGTTCAAGGGATTCTTCTGCCTCAGCCTCCACAGTAGCTGGAATTACAGGTTTGAGCCAACACACCCGACTACTTTCTTTTTTTTTAGACGGAGTCTTGCTCTGTTGCCCAGGCTAGAGTGCAGTGGTGTGATCTCGACTCACTGCAACCTCCACCTTCCAGGTTCAAGCAATTTTCCTGCCTCTACCTCCCGAGTAGCTGGGACTATAGGCGCCCCCACCACACCCAGCTAATTTTTGTATTTTTAGTAGAGACGGGATTTCATCATCTTGGCCAGGCTGGTCTCGAACGCTTGACCTTGTGATCCACCCACCTCAGCCTCCCAAAGTGCTGGGATTACAGGCATAAGCCACCGCTGCCAGCCTAATTTTTTGTGTATTTAATAGAAATGGGGTTTCACCATGTTGAACAGGCTGGTCTTGAACTCCTGACCTCAGGTGATCCACCCGCCTTGGCCTCCCAAAGTGCTGGGATTACAGGCATGAGCCACTGCACCTGGCCTCTGTCGGCATTTTCGCAGATGAAAAACCAAGGCTCAGAGAAGGACAGTTGCTCGCCTAAGGCGGCAGAGATGGTGACAGCCCCCCACACACAATGGCTGGTACTGAGATCAGTGTCAGGGTCTGGGACCAGCAGCGTTGGTCTCACCTGGGGACTTACTAAAAATGCGAATTCCCAGTCCTCACCCCAGCCCTTCAGAAACCCTGTGGGTGGGGCCCAGCCATTTGGGTTTTAACAAGCCCTTGGTGATCCCCAGGCACTGTCACATTTGGGACCCTCTGGCTTCGAGGCTGTCCCTTTCACTCTCCTGCCCCAATCTCCAGCCTGAGTCAGGGTCTCCTGTATGTGCACCCACCGCGTGCTGGAGCTAGGACAGAGATAGCGACCGCCCACCTGGCACTCACTGGGCATCTGAGTACCTCCAGTACTCGTAGGCCTGGCACCCCCTCGAGACCACCCGGATGGGAATCCTGAGCCCTCCATCCTATATACTGTGTGGCCTCGAGTCAATTCCGTGAGTTCTCTGAGCCTCAGCTTTCCATCTGAAAACTGAAGATAATGCTGGGGTCTCCCTGGAAGGGATGTAGGGAGGGTTTACTGAGGCTTGAAGGTACAGCTCTCAGCACACTCCATGTTGTCACTGTCAGGATAACAGGAAGGACAGGCGTTTATTGGCTCAGAGGACACATGAGTCTTCCCCAGTCCCACAGCCCCAAGAAGCAGCGGCACCAGCATTAGGAAGCTGGGGCATCCAGGTCTCAGGAGCTTGAAGAGGAAGCTTAGGAGAGGATGGGGTGGGAGCAGAGGAGGAGCTGGCCTGTGCCCTGACTCTGGGCTGGCTCATGGCTAAGGAGGCTCCCCACTGGCCCCAGGGTCCCAGCCAGGCAGGCTCAGAGGACTGCCAGACCCCTGGGCCCAAGGCCAAGGCTGAGAGCCTGGTCCCCCAACCCTGGCTTTCCCCTGCAGGGCCCCGCTATGACACCAGGACCATTGTCTGGATCTGCCTGACTCTCATCACGGGCCTGGTGGTGCTTCTGCTCCTGCTTATCTGCAAGAAGAGGTGGGTGGTCTGGCCCAGCCACACCCAGCCCCTCCTCTCAAGCGCTGTACCTCCTGCCTGCCCCCAGCCCCACCGAGCCGGTGGTCCCCGTGTGCCTGGGGCTGGCTCACTTACAAATACATCACCTCATTTAACCTAATGACATGCCAGTGATGTAGAGATTCTGACCTCACTTTGCAGGTGAGTAAATTGGGGATCAGAGAGGCTAGGCTTCTTGCCAGAATCACACAGTTGATAAATGCCAGAGCTAGGACACGAGCCTAGGTCTGTCAAACTCAAGCCCGTACTCTCAGTTACTTTGTCCTCTCCACTCCATTTTGGAGGGAGGTAGAGACAGGATAGTGTGTGGGCTTGGGGTCCCAGACAATGAGGATCCTCTAATTGATGGAGAAATGGTGACACAGGGAAGGGAAGGGGCTGGCCAAGGTCACCCAGTGTCGTTGGCCACAGAAGCCTCATCTCTCAGTGCCCCACCAACAGTGGTTTCATATAACATTGGGCTGACAGCGTCGTAGACTTTGCCAAGAGGTTCAGGTGGACTCGAGGGCATTTTGAGGATCGCACAGTGCTTGTGACCGTCACGGCTGTCACAGTTTAGCTGGGTTGAGAGCCTGAGGTCAGGGACTTTCCCCTGCAGACTTTGTAAGGAGCAGGAGCTGACCTGTCAGGGGAAGGAACATGAAGAGAGAAGCCATGACTCATCCCCTGGTTGGGGTCAGGTCCTGGGCTAGGGATGGCCTGGCCTCAGGCAGGGCGGTGCCCTCCTCTGCAGGCATTGTGGCTACAGCAAGGCCTTCCAGGACTCGGACGAGGAGAAGATGCACTATCAGAATGGACAGGGTGAGTACAGGGGCCCAGAGGTCTGGGGCAGAGGGAAGGCCACAGGGGGACCCAGTGCTGGACAGGGGGTGGCACAGATGGGAAGGAGGAAGGTGCCCAGTGAAAAGACCAGAGCCTGAGAGACAGACTCCAGGATGTCACAGAGACCTGGTGTCCCAGAGGGCAGTGCCGTTCATGCCTCTTGGACTCTCAGACTACATTGAGGATGCTAGAGATCCTCTCCCCAGGGAAGGGCACACATTTGTATATGATTTTGGAGTGGGAGTTCATATACTCTTCGACAATGAACCCCTACTACGGAGAGATTTTCAGGATCCTGTAGAGATCCCAGACAACAAGGCGAATCTGGGGACGCCTCCCTCCATGCCCCACTCCTGTGCCCATGGCAGACATTAGCATCAAGCATGGTGCCACTTCCCACCAGGCCTGGGTGCAGCCTCAGACTCCTTAACTACTTTTTATATTTATTTATTTATTTATTTATTTATTTATTTATTTATTCATTCATTCATTCATTCATTCATTCATTCTGAGATGGAGTCTCACTCTGTCACCCAGGCTGGAGTGCAGTGGCTGAATCTCAGCTCACTGCAACCTCTGCCTCCAGAGTTGAAGTGATTCTCCTACCTCAGCCTCCCAAGTAGCTGGGATTACAAGCGTGCACCAACACTCACTGCTAATTTTTGTATTTTTAGTAGAGACGAGGTTTCACCATGTTGGTCAGGCTGGTCTTGAACTCCTGACCTCAAGTGATCCACCTGCCTCAGCCTCCCAAAGTGCTGGGATTACAGGCGTGAACCAACGCGCCTGGCCAGAAACTATTTTCAATGAATCAAAGTTGACCCTTGTGGCAAAAACTTACTTTTGCGACATCCCTACTCCAGAACAATGGAGAAAGCTCTCAAGGACTGTAAAAGTGACCCCAGAAAATGGCAGACATGCCCAGAACTCTCTGGAGATTCCACAGCCCTATAGAAACCCCAGAGCGATTCCAGACACCCCGCTTTCACGTGGGAAGTACTTATGGGGTGCGTGTTGTTTGCTAGCACATCCAGAGATTCCCAGAGACACCCCTCACTCAACCCAGACCCATCCCAGGCCCAGGGACTGCTGGGAGAGAGAAATCCCTCCTGGGCCCCACTGAAGGGCCTCCTCCCGCCCCTCAGCACCCCCACCTGTCTTCCTACCCCTGCACCACCCCCCGGGAAAGCTCCCAGAGCCCCAGTTCTACGCGGAACCCCACACCTACGAGGAGCCGGGCCGGGCGGGCCACAGTTTCACCCGGGAGATCGAGGCCTCTAGGATCCACATAGAGAAAATCATTGGCTCTGGTGAGTCTCAGGGGTTGTGAGGGCGGGGACAGCACGGGGCAAGGTAGGGGCACCCAGGGCAGAGGAAGCGTGTGACCCAAGGGTCTGGCAGGCCCAGGGGGCACAAGGGCCTGGGAGCCTGGGGGAGTCTGAGGGTCCCACTGCCCCTCCTCCCCACCTGCCCCTCTCGGGGCCTGCAGGAGAGTCCGGGGAAGTCTGCTACGGGAGGCTGCGGCTGCCAGGGCAGCGGGATGTACCTGTGGCCATCAAGGCCCTCAAAGCCGGCTACACGGAGAGACAGCGGCGGGACTTCCTGAGTGAGGCGTCCATCATGGGGCAATTCGACCACCCCAACATTATCCGCCTCGAGGGTGTCGTCACCCGCGGTAGGTGCCAGGCAAGGACAGCCTCCCCCTGCAGTGCCCCTCCTGCCTGGACAGGCCCCTGGGTCCATCCCTCATCCATCCTGCTCTGCCCCACCTGACCCTGTCCTCTCGGCTTAGGTCCCCAAATGACTCGGGGTGCCCAGAGCCTGGGACCCCAGTGGAAATCCAAGGCACCCTGGGGCTTCCAGTGCTGGCACAGGTCCTGGGATGGCAGTATGCTCCTGGGGTCTCTGATCAGCAGCTCTGAGCCCCAACCAAGAGCCACCCTCTCCCCACTGCCTGCCCCAGGCCGCCTGGCAATGATCGTGACGGAGTATATGGAGAACGGCTCTCTGGACGCCTTCCTGAGGGTGCGTGTCCCACCCCTGCCTCTTGCATGGGCTTGGGGAGGGAGGTCCAGTCTGGGTTTTTGGGAGCTAGTACAAAGCCCTCTAACCCTCCTCCCTGGCTTGGACACCACAGGCTGGGGAGTGGGAGGCAGGTATAGGGAGGAGGTCTTCGCGGTCAGCCAGTCAAACTGCCTTTCGGCCCCCATTGCATGAAAGTCCCTCTGCTCCACTGGGTCCTGCTGCCCCGCACACAGGCTGAGGGAGGTGCCTCTGTGGGAATCCAGGCCCCACCCAGCTAGGGGACATGCTGGCTGTGGTGGAGACTGCAGGATTCCCAGCTGCTGCCCTGCAGTTTCTTTGCTGGGTGCTCTTAGGCACAGAGCTTAACCTCTGTGGGCCTCCATCTCTCGTTCCACAAAATGGGTAAGCCGTCATTGCTGCCCCACCTACCTCTCAGGGTTGCTGTGAGGGTAAATGAGACCAGGAGAATAACCCTTAACTACAAGGTGCTTCAGAAGCATGGAGCACTTGGTAAATTGCAAAGCGCCATCTAGAGCATCCTACAGATGGGCGGGGTTCCTGTTCACGGACCAGGCGCCTCACTGGGCCTTCCTGAAGCCCAAGCCGTGTCCCCCTGCAGACCCACGACGGGCAGTTCACCATCATGCAGCTGGTGGGCATGCTCAGAGGAGTGGGTGCCGGCATGCGCTACCTCTCAGACCTGGGCTACGTCCACCGAGACCTGGCCGCCCGCAACGTCCTGGTTGACAGCAACCTGGTCTGCAAGGTGTCTGACTTCGGACTCTCACGGGTGCTGGAGGACGACCCGGATGCTGCCTACACCACCACGGTGCGTCGCCCACACTCCTTCTGGCTAGACTAGGGAGTGGGGACGTGGTGCCGGTGGCACCCAGGGCCCGACAATTCTTCTGCAAGTAGTTGAATGAAGTTGGCAGTTTTGGGGTAGCCCTCAACCTGGGGCACATCCTGTTTCTCCTCTTCACGCCAGTGCCTTCCTCTGGGAAATGGGAACAGCCTTGCCTGCCTTTCCTCTGTCACCAGGTGGCCAGGGGAGACCCCAGGGCTGGTCCCCACGGTCGCTCACTCACCAGGAGACTTGAGGAGGATTGGAATCTCCCCGAATTGTACCCAGACTCCACATCTGTCTCTAAAGTTTGCCTAAAACCCAGCTGTTTGCAAACATGTTCCATAGGGATTTGGACCTCTCTAGAGGTGCCTTAGGGGCGGCCTTAAAGGCAGGAGCTGAGCGCACAGGGGTCAGTTTCCACCCCACCCTAACAGGAGCCCTCCCTTAGCCTCTGTCCCACAGCCTCTGAGTAAGGTTTCCCATGGAGAAAGGATCCTGTGACAACAAAAGAAAGAAGGAAAGGAAGGAGGGAGTGGAGAGAGGGAGGGAGTGAGGAAGGAGGGAGCAAAGGGAGAGAAGGAGGGAGGGAGTAGGGGAGGAAAGAAGGGAGGGAGAAGGAGGAAGGAGGAAGGGAAGGAGGAAGAAAGGAGGGAGGGAAGGAGGGAAAGAAAGGAGAGAGGGAGGAAGGAGGAGGCAAAGGAGGGAAGGAAGGAAGGTGGAAAGGAAGAAAGGAGGAAAGGAAGGGAAGGGGAGGGGAGTGTGGAGAGGAGGGGAGGGGAAAGGGGAGCCAAAGGAAGGGAGGGAGGGAACGACAAAGGGAGTGGGGGAGGAAGGAAGGGAGGGAGAGGGAGGGAGGGAGGAAGGAAGGAAATGAAGGAGAGAAGGAGAGACGGAGGGAAGGAAGGAGGGAAGGGAAAGAAGGAGGGAGGGAGTGGGGGAGACAGGGAGGAAGGAAGGAAATGAAGGAGAGAAGGAGGGACGGAGGGAAGGAAGGAGGGAAGGGAAGGAAGGAGGGAGGGAGTGGGGGAGGAAGGGAGGGAGTGGGGGAGACAGGGAGGAAGGAAGGAGAGAAGGAGGAAGGAATGAGGGAAGGAGAGAAGCAAGGAGAGAAGGAGAGAAGGAGGGAGGAAGGAGAGAAGGAGGGAGGCAGGAAGGAAGGAAAGAAGGAGGGAAGGAAGGGAGGGAGGAAGGCGGGAGGGAAAGAAGAAAGGAGGGAAGGAAGGACAGAAGGAGGGAGGAAGGAAGGAGGGAAGGAAGGAAGGGAGGAGGAAAGAAAGGAAGGGAAGAGGAAAGGGAGGAAGAAAAGAAGGAAGGGAGGAGGAAAAGAAGGGAGGAAGGAAGAAAGGAAGGAAGGGAGGAGGAAAGGAAGGAAGGGAGGAGGAAAAGAAGGAAGGGAGGAGGAAAAGAAGGGAGGAAGGAAGAAGGGAGGAAGGAAGGAAGGAGAAAGGAGAAGGAAGTAGGGGAAGAGAAGGAAGAGGAAGAGTTGGAAAATGACTAGGCTGTGGCCCCTGAGCCCCCTTGGCTTGTCACTGGTACTGGCTGAGCACCTGCTCGTGCCAGGCGTCTCACTCCTTCCTTCCTTCGTCTTCACAGCGGCTTTTGAGGGGCCTCCCTCAGGACAGGTGCTCTGGGAAGTGGGGGCTGTGTTGTCCCTCTGGACTGGGAAACGGAACCCCAGTGTTTAGCTCTCTGACTCAGAGGGCTCGGGGGACATCCTGCCAGGCCTGGGCAGCCCCTTGACTCTTGTGTGTCCATCGCAGGGCGGGAAGATCCCCATCCGCTGGACAGCCCCAGAGGCCATCGCCTTCCGCACCTTCTCCTCGGCCAGTGACGTGTGGAGCTTCGGTGTGGTCATGTGGGAGGTGCTGGCCTACGGGGAGCGGCCCTACTGGAACATGACCAACCGGGATGTGAGTACCGGGCCCTGGCGGGGCCGCAGGTGGTGAAGACTTGGGGTGCCAGGAGGGACGGCTGAGCCCAGCGCTGATCCCCTACAGGTCATCAGCTCCGTGGAGGAGGGGTACCGCCTGCCCGCACCCATGGGCTGCCCCCGCGCCCTGCACCAGCTCATGCTCGACTGCTGGCACAAGGACCGGGCGCAGCGGCCTCGCTTCTCCCAGATTGTCAGTGTCCTCGACGCACTGATCCGTAGCCCAGAGAGTCTCAGGGCCACCGCCACTGTCAGCAGGTGCCTCATGCCCACCCCAGCTCCTCAAGGCCCAGCTGCCTCCCAGTATTGCCCCAGATCTGTCCCTGGGACAGTTTGGCCCCGACACCTGGACCAGGCCCAGCCTGGGCCCCCGGCCCCTGCCCTTCCTGACCCCTTCCTCAGCCTGCCTCTTCTGGGGGGTCCAACCTCCCAAACCCCCTGGCCACTTACCAAAGGCCCCTGTGCCTCAGGTGCCCACCCCCTGCCTTCGCCCGGAGCTGCTTTGACCTCCGAGGGGGCAGCGGTGGCGGCGGGGGCCTCACCGTGGGGGACTGGCTGGACTCCATCCGCATGGGCCGGTACCGAGACCACTTCGCTGCGGGCGGCTACTCCTCTCTGGGCATGGTGCTACGCATGAACGCCCAGTGAGTGATGGCTGGGGCTGGGGGCCCATGCGTGTGGGGGCAGGGGCGGGGACCCAGAGGCAGGGCCGCCGAGGAGGCTACAGGTCCAGATCCATGGCCCTGGCTGCGTGCGCGGCTCCCAGCCTCCCAGGCCCAGCTGGCCAGCAGCACCCTTCCTTCACAGAGACGTGCGTGCCCTGGGCATCACCCTCATGGGTCACCAGAAGAAGATCCTGGGCAGCATTCAGACCATGCGGGCCCAGCTGACCAGCACCCAGGGGCCCCGCCGGCACCTCTGATGCACAGCCGGCAGGGCCCAGGTGGCCACCAAGCCCTCCCCAGGTCATGCCAGCGGCAGAGGACGTGCGGGGCTGGCAGCAGGCAGGGCGGCCCCAGGCCTCTGCCCTCCTCTCGGGCGCTAGGGGAGCTGAAGGCTCCGCCACAGGACCTGGAGTTATCAGAGGTCAGGTGCCTGGGAAGGGGCCTTTGGTGACCACCCTGGCCAGGACACCTGTCCCCCAGGGCAGGCGCCTTCTCTTTTCCGGAGCCTGGGGCCTCCACGCCACAGAGTCCAACAGGGACGTCACTCGCCTGCCTCTGTGTGCGTGTGTGTGTGTGTGGTGGGGGGTGTTCTCACAAGGTCAGGGGATCCCGAGTGAACAATGTGTGATCATGTGTGTCCACCCCTTCGGGTCTCAGCATGGATGTATGCATGTTATGAGCGTGTGCATATCTGTTAAGCCTGGAGGCACATGTGGGTGATGGTGGATGATGTGTCATGAATGAGGAGATGTGTGAGCAGGGAACTCAGTGTGTGACACCGCCAGGTCCAGCACCCACGGGGACAGGGGAGAGGCACACCCCTACATCCCCGCACACCTGGAGGCTGGAGCCAGGGGCCACTTCTGAACTGCACCAGCACCAGGCCCCCCCTCATCTCTGCCTGGGTGAGCCCACCCTGGCTGTATCTCAGGTCTGGGTCCTCCCTCTAGCCGAGGAGGCCACCTGCAGCCTCCACCCAGCTCCCACCGCTGCTTCAACAGGAAAACAGGGTTCCCGGCCAGTCCCGCTGGCCGCCTTCATGGAGGCATCATGGCAGAGCACATGAGACGCCCTCAGCTGGGCTTGGCTGCCTGGCCAGGGCCAGGGGCTCAGCAGCCCCCTCTAGCCTCTGATGCCTTCCCTCCACGGCCCAGGTCTCCTCACTCAAAGTCCCTTCGCCAACCTATCACTGCCCAGCCCTGACACCTCCCCCTTGTCCCCCAGGCCTAGGATCAGGGACCAGAGGATCCTAGCTTCTCAGCCCCCAGCCCAGCCCTTCCTGTAGCATATGGGGATACCGAGGCCTGGAGAGAGGGGTGATGCCCCGTCCCAGGTTGCACCACAACCAAGTGGCAGAGTCGGGGCTCCTGCCTCCCGCCAAGGCTCTTGTCCCCATACACCATCCCACATGGGCGCTGGGGGTGGAGGTGCCCTGGAAGCCCCACCCGCTCACACTGACCTCCCCCTTACGGCCCACCAGGGTATGTAAATATCTCTTTTCTACCATGTCAGAATATTTTTTCCTCACTCCTGACAATGCAAAAATGGTCTTCAAAGCACATAAAAAGCACCCAGGGTGATAAAGCCCCATCCCGGAGGCCGTTGGCAGGCAGGGTAGCAGGAACCCCACCGTGTGCCCCCTGCCAGCCCCAGAGGGAGGGGTGAGCCCAGTTCCCCAGCCCTGTCCCCCCTCCCCATAGCCAACACAGCTATCCCGCGGGGACACCAGCACTGAGCCCCCTCTCCCTCCTGCAATAATTCGGGGAGTCTCAGCCCCATCCAGGTGCCGCGGCCAGCTCTCTACACCTCTATATATTATATTACTATATAGCCGAGCTGTTCTTCCTTCCTATGGAAGTCGGAAACATGGTCAGAACACGATCTGGGGCGGGGGGAATCCTGTCTTCTTCCCCACCCCCACCCCACTCTTACCCGGTTTCTGGGCTCTGGATCCTCACAGTCATGGAGGCACCATGGGCCTGGCACTTGCAAAAGTGTGGCCCCTGACTCTAGCGTGGGGTCCCTCTCAGGGTCCTAGGGATCTGCCTCTATGTGGTCTCCATCCTGACTCTTGAAATTACCCACAATGAGAATAAATTCTGCCTCATCTTTGCCTGTGTTCCCCATTTTTCCCCCATCTCTACAAGCTTGACATCTCCTGTTGGGGAAGGGCCAACCTCATACTGAGCACCTGCTGTTTGCATCCCATTCATTTATCTCCCCTCTGGTTTTCTCATCTGTCGGGGGAGGTAGGATTAGTGCATGCATTGTATATACGGGGAAGCTAAGTCCTGGTTCAGCCAACCTGCCTAAAGCCAAAGAACAGACTGGGGGATGAATCAGAACCTAGATTTGTCACACCCCAAATCCCAGGCTCAGCTAGGAAGCACCCCACAGCCCCAAATTCTCTCTTCCAAGAGGTGCACATGGTGCTTAACCTTAGAGTCCAGTCCCTTCCAGATGGGCATTGCCCTTGAGTTCTCTTGGGGGAGAAAGATGCCCCCATGGAAGGGGAGGGAAAGGACATTTCCTGGAAACAGCTTCCTCAGGACTAAGGGGGACCACTGGGAGACCTGGGTGCTGGGAGGCAGAATAGGGGAGACAGGGTACAAGCATCTTCCATAGTTACATCAGGGAGCTGAGGACTCCCTCTGCTCATGGGGAAAGGGAGCAGCAGCAGGGGTTCTGGTCAGAAGACAGAGATAGAGGCAGAGCAGAGGCCAACAGTATCCATTTGTGCCAGTGGCTCAGACATTTGGGGAAGGTGCTCCAGGGTCTTAGAGGTGAGGGAGTGGATGATCTCCAGCTGAGTGAAGGGCTTCACTCCTGAACCTCCCTCAAACTGGGGAAGTGGGAACAGGCAGAAAACACCTACACTGCATTTCCTACGTTGTCTCGCTCGGAATCACAATAGCACTATGAGATTGAGAATATCGTCCCCCACTCACACATGGCCAAAAGCTTACTTGGAGAGGCCAATGTCCCACATGGCAGAGCCACCACATAGAGCTAAATCTGTCGATTTCAAGCCAGCTATACTTCCTTGAGACTCCAAACTAAGCACCAGGTCCTTTCCTCACAAAACCAGTTGTTTCCTGTGAGGAAGAATCTGTTACTACAGACTTACCTTCCCTTAAGGGGAAGAGATCCTAACATCCTATTGGGCGATAGGATCCAATCATCAGATCCTAATCAACACCTGCTCTGTGCTGGGTGCTACTGGGGGTACAAGACTATGAGACGCAGCCCTTCTTCTCAGAAGCTCAGAGACTAGGTGGAGGTGCAGACTGCACAAAAGAGGTTCCCTCAATCAGATCCAGTGTGCTAAATGTCCAAAAAATGGAGCACATAGAAGGGTTCCAGAGTGTTAGAGAGAGCCTTGACAGGCAGGTCTGTCATTGGAGGACTTACTGGAGGAGGAAGCATTTCAGTTGAGCACTGAAGAATGAGAAGGGTTTGGAGGTTGATTTCCAAGGCAGTCCTTTGTGCAAGGCATGGAACGCAGAGGAGAGGAAGAAACAAACCATGTTCATGGATGGGGAGCCTCACCACCACAGTGCTGGCTATGCCCTTCCAATTTAATCTATGCATTTTTATTTCCAATAAAAATTGCAATGGGATTTTCTCCGCAACTTGACAGAGTAATCCCCAAATGTACATGGAATAATAAAGAACACAGAACAGCCAAGACAATTTTGAAAAAGAAAGAGGAAGAGGAAGGGAACCTCCCCCTATCAGGTATCAATAGGCACTATGGAGCTCTAACAATTAAAATGGATTTGGTCCCAGGAACAGATCAACAGATAGTAGAACAGAGAATAATGCCTAGGGGCAGATCAAAATATATAAGAGAGTGTGAAACAAGACAAAGGGTAAAATGGTCTTGTTAACAGATGATGTTGAACAATTGAATACCCCTATTGGAAAACAAAATTGGATCCCTGCTCACACCACTCACAAAATAAGTTCCAGGCTGGTTAAAGTCCTAAATGTGAAGAGCACACTATAAAACTTTACAACAGAGGAAAATAACTTTATGATCTTAGAGTAGAAACTAAACAAAACACAAAAAGCATAAATGATTTTTAAAATGATAAATCTTATTACAATTATTTCTGTGTGACAAAAGATGAATAGATTTCTTAAAGCCACTGGCTGGGAGAAAGTACTAGCAATCCATACGAGCAAGAGACAATTAGTTTCCAAAACAATGTTTTTTATAACTCCAGAGAATCAATCTACCAAAACATTCCAGAGCAATAGGAAAATGGGCAAAAAAAAAAAAAAAAAAAAAAAGTGAATAAATACCAGAGGAAGAAATGTGAAAGGCCAAACAAGATATAAAAGAGTCTCAACATCACTAGTAAACATGGAAATGCAAGTTGAAACAATAATGAGATGGCTCATTACACCAATCCGATTGGCAAAATTAGTGTCTAACGTGAGTATTGATGAAGATATGGGGGAAATAGCAATGTTTATAAACTGCTGGTGGGAATTTAAATTTGCACAGCTACTTTGGAGAGCAATTTGAAAATGCTTAATAAACTTTAAGACGAGCAAATCTATGATCTAGCCAACTCCGCCACTAATGTGTGCCTCTTAGGTTAAGTTTCCTAATCGGGGCCTGAGTCAGGGATTCTTGTGTAGTGATTTATTGAAGCAGAGCTCTTAGGTGAAAGAGAGATGGGATGGCAGATAGGGTGGAAGCGCTAGGCAGTGATATGTTCTCAGTTGGAGATTAGCTTCAATCTGATCCCATGGGAGCTCTGGGGCAGGAGTGACAATGCGGAGTCGGTCTACCTCGAGGCAAGGGAGCCAAAATTTTCTACCCCCATGTCACTCAGTCATCAGCTATGGCCACCCCATAGGAAGGATGGAGAAGTGGTGTAACTGTGGGCAAGGGAGTTCCCAAGAAGGGAGTAGCTCTGAGCCCTTAGTGTCAACACTCACAGCTGGAGGGTGGGAACACCTACAGGTAAAAGGCATCTGAGTGGGACATCAGCAATGTTTTCCACCGTGTCCCAGAGAAGCATACTCATATGCAGAAGCATACATGTCCACGGATATTTATTGCACCTTAGTATGTAATAGAAATACAAAGAGGAGCCTAACTGCCTCCCAGCAGGAAAACAAAAAATAAACTGCTTCATAAGTGCAATAAGATAATCAACCACCGTTCAAACGAACAAACTAGATCAACATCCATCAATAGGGATAAGTCTCCAAACGTAACATGGAACGAAAAAAATAACAAAGGAACCTCCACAGGTTTACACCATTTATGTAAACTTTAAAAAAATATATGTAAGAATTGAATACACAGGTTTTGAATGCGTAACTAGGTAATGACAGCATAAAATATGCACGAGGCAGATAAACACCAGGTCAGCACAACTGTATCTGTCTTTCATTGACATCTCTTTTGTAAAAATAGGGGACTCTGAAGCAAATATGGCAAAATGTGAATATCCACTTAATGTGTGTCTGTTACATTATTTCTCGATTTTCTCATATGCTGAAATGGCCTATAATTTTAAATAAGAGTGTTTATCAAACACAAAGGGGACGGGGCTATATGAGAAGTCTCTGTACTTCCTGGTCAATTTTGCTGTGAACCTAAAACTGCTCTAAAAAATAAAGTTTCTTATTTTTAAACACCCACAAGGGAGGGAGGGGTTCTGCAGCCTGCCTTCAGGAAACTTGGGGTCTCAGAAATGGGGTTGGGGAAGTGGGGGGATGGTGGGGTGGGGAGGTTGGAAGAACTGGCTCTTCTGGGTTGAGGGGAGGATTGACGCTGTCCAGGGTCCTGGACCCCGGTGGCGGGGGCTGGTTGCGCTGCGACAGACCAGCAGATCTGGGCAGTTCTCGCCCCAAAATGTACACGGAGCCTAATCATGTCCACCTGCCCCTGGTTCTGCTGCCGCCTCCTCTTCCCTCAGCGACTGCGGAAGCCTCCTCAGTAGCCTCCCCACTTCCTCTCTGGCCCCCATAATCCATTCTCCGCAAGCAGCCAAAGGGATCTTTTAAAAACATAAACCAGATCTTGCTACATTCTGGATTACAATCCTGCAAAAGCTTCCTATCAAGTTTACAATAACGTGGAAAATCCTCCCCCGACCTCCAACGCCCTCCCGCCCCCCGCCCCTGTCATCTGCTGCCACCGGCCTCTCCAATCTCTCTCCAACTATCTTCCCCTCTCTAGTGCCCTTCTTTTCTTTCATTTATTTAGTTAAAGACAAGGTCTTGCTCTGTCACCCAGGGTGGCATGATCTCGACTCCCTGCAGTCTGGATGGACTTCCCGCGCTCAATCAGTCTTTCCTCCTCAGCCTCTCAAGTAGCTAGGACCACAGGCGCAGGCCACCACACCTGGCTTATTTATTTATTTATTTATTTATTTATTTATTTATTGTAGAGACGGGGTTTGCTATGTTGCCCAGGCTGTCCTCTTACTCCTGAGCTCAAGCGATCCGCCCACTCAGCCTCCCAAAGTGCTGGGATTACAAGCATGAGCCACGGCGCCTGGTCCCAGCGTAGCTTTTTAAAAATCTGTACCCACCCATATCTCTGGCTTTGCTTCCTGTCCTTACTCTCCAGCAAGTCCACAGGAAACCTCCAGCCAGGGGGAAACACCTGCAAGTCTCACCCCTCTCCCCCGGCTGTGGCATGTATGTTTTCTACCAGAGGAATGTCCTTCCTCTCCCTTCTGCCCCTGGCCAATTTCAACTCACACTGAAGATCTCAACCTCTGGCTCCCTTCAGCTAATTCGAAGTTAGATGCCTCCCTTCTCTGAGATCCCACAGATTCCGGGGCTGCCCCCCTTGAAGCACTTATGTTCCACTGTCATCGATCTCTCACTTTCATCGTGAATGGATTAAGGCCAGAACTGTCTCCACTTAGAGAACCTCAGTGAATGAAAAATGTACAGGCAAATCGCTCTTACTGGGGCCCTGAGGATCTGCCCTAAAACAAGGCCAGTTTCCTCATCCTTCCCTTTCATGTGACCTTGAGGAAGTCACTTCTCTTCGAGCCCTGTTTCATCCTCTGTAACATGGGGCCACCACTTCCATCTACTCCACAGGATTGTCATGAGGATTGAAGGGTAATGTGAGGACAGCACGCAGGGGACAGTGTTTGTCACTATTGCTGGAGGGGGATGATTTGGTGTCTCTATGAAGGGACCGAGAGCAAAGCTGTTGGCAAGCATGGATGAGTCTTTGGGAATAAGAGGGGGGGCAGCCCAAGTAGTCGAGTCCCGGCCCCACTGTTGCTCCTCTGTCACTCACTCCACCTCGGGCTGGTGGCCCGGACCCAGGGCTGGCCGCCCCTTTCACTCCATCCCCAAGGCCCAAGAATCTCTGCAGGACCCTCCAGCTCCCCTACTCTGGGCGGCTGGGGAAGGGTCAACTGCTGGATGGAATTTGCAGTCCTCAGAGGGTTTGCATTTCCATGTCTCCCGTGTTGGGGATGGTGGAAGGTGATGAATAAAAGATGGGGACGGGGGGAGCTCCTGTGGCTTTAAGAGAAATGTGATGAGCATTCAGAGTGGGGAGATTAGCGAGAAACTTCTCCCTGAATACCAAGAATGCAGGTTTCAGCATCCAGTGCAAAATCAACCAAAATCAACCAGAAAGCCACCTTTCTGCTGCGAAGTGACAGGACCCAAGGAAGAAGAAGGCACCCCAGGGCCTTTGGTGGGGAGCAGGAGGGGCCAGGAGGTCACAAACTCAGGTGAAGGAAGCCTAAAGCATCAGGAGAGAAGTACATGGATGCACGGCCAAGGTGACCCATGGATGGGGCCAGGGTGGAGAGCAGAGGGGCATCCAGGTGCAGCCCCTTCCTTCCCGGGGTGGACGCCCTCTTCAGATGCTAAAATAATCCCCACACACACTCACATGAGAGGGGCTGTGGAGGCAAGGCTGTCTGCATGGCCTCTGACAGGAGCCTCGGTGGGTGGCTGATTGTCATGATTGTCACTAATGATGGGGAGTCGCTATTCACCGAGATTTTATCCTGTGCCACACAGAGCGCCAAGTGCTTTCCGTGCACTGTGATTTTCAGTCCTCACAGCAACTTTAGGAGGTATTGCTATTACCATCCCTTTCTCACCAGTAAGAAAACCGAGGCACACAAAGGTTATGTAACTTGCTCCATGTCACACAGCAGGTGAGTGAAAATCAGGATCCAAACACAGGTCAGGCTGACTCCCTCGGGGAGGGGCAGTGCTGGTGTGTGCTGGAGCTGGGAGGAGGGTTGAGGATGTGGGCCCTGTACAAAGTTCAGGAGTCACCCAGCCAGCCAGCATGTCACACCTGAATCTGTCTTCCAGTTTCTCCTGGGGGAGAGTATCCCAGGCCCACTGGTCAGGGATAATGAGTGATGGGTAGAGGGATGCTTTCTTTCTTTCTCTCTTTCTCTTGCTCTTTTCTTTCTTTCTTTCTTTCTTTCTTTCTTTCTTTCTTTCTTTCTTTCTTTCTTTCTTTCTTTCTTTCTTTCTTTCTTTCTTTCTTTC